TCTTTTATGAGTCTAGATCTGAAATTATGTAGATTATTAGGATGGTTAATCCAGGTAATCCCATAGTTACCACTTTAAATAAGAGATACATCTGGGGTTAACCCTTCAAATGAAAGATCACATTTTAGTTTCCCTTTTGAAATGCACACTCCACTAAACTGGGGAAAAAACTACTAAACAAAAAAAGTAAAACATATGCAGATGATGAATTATAGTATTTCTAGCTTAAAATGTAAATTGTTACTTCATTATTATTATAAATTACGTGATTTTATAACCCTTGTTGTGCCAAATTCATACTGTTTTCAAATTCCACATTATAGACCATTGGCAGTATCCACAATTCTATTGGGTGTCCATTTATGACAAGAAGAGCATTTTAACTGTATATTTAAACATTTAAATTATGATTTTTACAGCAAAAGTACTTCAAATGAATTTTGTGACACGTGATTAACATTACATGTTCTCATCCAACTGTGGACCCACCACCCGCAGGAGGAACATGAAGGATCCGGTGCAATGTGGATCGGGTGGCAGACCAAGGCGGGAGCCTTGGCGGTCCGATCCCCAGACAAGAAAACTGGTTTTTGGGACATGGAACGTCACCTCGCTGGCGGGGAAGGAGCAGGAGCTTGTGGCAGAGGTTGAGCGGTACCGGCGCACCTCGACACATAGCATTGGCTCTGGAACCCAAGTCCTTGAGAGGGGTTGGACACTCTCCTTTGCTGGAGTTGCTCCGGGTGAGAGGCGAAGGGCTGGGGTTGGCTTTTTGTTAGCCCCAAGACTCGTGTGTTGGGGGTTTACCCCGGGAGATGAGAGGGTAGCTTCCCTGCGCCTTCGGGTCGGGGAACGGGTCCTGACTGTTGTTTGTGCTTATGGGCCAAATATCAATTCAGAGTACCCACCCTTTTTGGAGTCCCTGGGACAAGTGCTAGATAGTGCTCCATCAGGGGACTCCATTGTCCTGCTGGGGGACTTCAATGCTCATCTGGGCAATGACAGCTTGACCTGGAGGGGTGTGATTGGGAGGAACGGCCCGCCTGATCTGAACTTGAGTGGTGTTTCGTTATTGGACTTCTGTGCAAGCTGCAGTTTGGCCATAACGAACACCATGTTCGAACATAAGGATGCCCATCGGTACACTTGGTACGAGGGCAGCCTAGGTCGCAGGTCGATGATAGACTTTGTAGTCGTATCATCTGACCTGCGGCCGTATGTTTTGGACACCCGAGTGAAGAGAGGAGCGGAGCTGTCAACTGATCACCACCTGGTGGTGAGTTGGATCAGATGGCGGGGAAGATGCCGCGTAGACCTGGCAGACCCAAACGCATAGTGAGGGTCTGCTGGGAACGCCTGGCAGAAGAACCTGTTAAGACGGTCTTCAACTCCCACCTCTGGCAGAGCTTTGACCACGTCCCGAGAGCAGTGGGGGACATTGACTCCGAGTGGGCCTTGTTCCACTCTGCAATTGTTGAGGCGGCTGTTGCTAGCTGTGGTCGCAAGGTGGCCGGTGCCAGTCGTGGTGGCAACCCCCGTACCCGCTGGTGGACACCAGAGGTTCGGGGAGCCGTCAGGCTGAAGAAGGAGGCCTACAGGGCGTGGCTGGTCTGTGGGTCTCCGGAGGCAGCAGACAGGTACTGGATAGCCAAGCGGGGTGCAGCAGTGGCAGTTGCCGAGGCAAAATCTCGGGCGTGGGAGGAGTTTGGTGAGGCCATGGAGAAAGACTATCGATCGGCTCCAAAGAGGTTCTGGCAAACTGTCCGGCGCCTCAGGAGAGGAAGGCAGCAACTCGCTCACACTGTTTACAGTGGGGATGGGGAGCTGCTGACGTCAACTGGGGCTATAGTCGGATGGTGGAAGGAATACTTTGAGGAGCTCCTCAATCCCACCTACGCGCATTCCGAGGAGGAACCAGAGCCGGGAGACCTGGGGATGGACTGTCCAATCTCTGGGGCAGAAGTTGCTGAGGTAGTCAAACAACTACACAGCGGCGGAGCCCCGAGGGTGGATGAGGTTCATCCTGGGTATCTCAAGGCTATGGATGTTGTAGGGCTGTCATGGTTGACACATCTCTGCAACATTGCATGGTCATTGGGGGCAGTTCCTGTGGAGTGGCAGACCGGGGTGGTGGTCCCCATCTTTAAGAAGGGTGACCTGAGGGTGTGTTCCAACTATAGGGGGATCACACTCCTCAGCCTCCCTGGAAAGGTCTACTCCAAGGTACTGGAGAAGAGGGTACGATCAATAGTTGAATCTCAGATTGAGGAGGAGCAATGTGGTTTTCGTCCTGGCCGTGGAACTGTGGACCAGCTCTATACCCTTGCAAGGGTGATGGAGGGGGCATGGAAGTTTGCCCAACCAATCCACATGTGTTTTGTGGATTTGGAGAAGGCTTATGACCGTGTCCCCAGGGGCACCCTGTGGGATACGCTCCAGGAGTATGGGGTGGGTGGCTTTCTGTTAAGGGCCATTCAGTCCCTTTACCAGAGAAGCGTGAGTTTGGTCCGCATAGCCGGAAGTAAGTCGGACCTGTTCCCGGTGAGGGTTGGACTCCGCCAGGGCTGCCCTTTGTCACCGGTTCTGTTCATTACCTTTATGGACAGAATTTCTAGGCACAGCCGTGGTGTGGAGTGTGTCGAGTTTGGTGGCAGGAGAATCTCATCTCTGCTTTTTGCGGATGATGTGGTCCTCCTAGCTTCATCCAGCTCTGACCTTCAGCTCTTGCTGGGTAGGTTCGCGGCCGAGTGTGAAGGGGCTGGGATGAGGATCAGCACCTCCAAATCTGAGACCATGGTTCTCGACCGGAAAAGGGTGGCTTGCCAACTCCGGGTCGGGGAAGAGGTCCTACCTCAAGTGGAGGAGTTTAAGTATCTCGGGGTCTTGTTCACGAGTGAGGGTAGGAGGGATCGGGAGATCGACAGGTGGATTGGTTCAGCATCTGCAGTGATGCGGACGCTGAGCCGATCTGTCGTGGTGAAGAGGGAGCTGAGCCAGAAAGCCAGGCTCTCGATTTACCGGTCGATCTATGTCCCAATCCTCACCTATGGTCATGAGCTTTGGGTAATGACCGAAAGAACGAGATTGCGGATACAAGCGGCCGAAATGAGTTTCCTCCGTAGGGTGGCCGGGCTCAGCCTTAGAGATAGGGTGAGGAGCTCGGACATTCGGATCGAAAGGAGCCAGTTGAGGTGGTTTGGGCATCTGGTCAGGATGCCTCCTGGACGCCTCCCTGGGGAGGTGTTTCGGGCATGTACTGCCGGCAGGAGGCCCCCGGGTCGACCCAGGACACGTTGGAGAGGTTACATCTCCAATCTGGTCCGGGAACACCTTGGGGTCCTGCCGGAGGAGCTGGTGGAGGTGGCCGGGGAGAGGACGGTCTGGAGCTCCCTAGTTGGGATGCTGCCCCCGCGACCCGGACCCGGATAAGCGGAGGAAGATGACGACGACGATGATTAACATGCACGATAATGATAACAATAATAATAATAATAATAATATAGTCACAGTCTAACATGACATGAGTGGAGGAATAATAATGGTTTTCTTTAGGTTAAGTTTTTCTGTGTGTTTCCCTGTGAGCCAGCACCTGTTTCCATTCTGAGAACGATAATAAATAAAGATAATCATACAGTTATAATTCATCAGACTCGTCCTCTGTTTAATTCTGCACAGAGAAAGAATTAAACAGAGGAGGAGTCTGGCAGGCCAGGCTACAGAAGTTTGCTGTTAGGATTAGTTCTTTTACTTTACTTCTCAACAACTTTTCTCCCTCTAGTGGCCATTTTTTGTGTTGTGACACAAAAGATGTCTACAGTATTTTACCATGTAGTTATTAACCTTTTAGTAGATTTTCCTTAGATTTTTTCTGTAACTAGATGAGATCTCTTCAGAGATCACTAATGCATGCAAAGAGAGCTGTGCAAAACACACCTCATGTCTCTGAGCTCTTGCAGGCACACAGATGTCCCCTTTAAACACTAAAGTGCATGTGTGTGTTTATATGCATGTGTGTATGTGTGTGTGTGTGCATGTTTCATCACAAGCCTGTTGCATAACTTACCTGTGTATAATTAAAAGCTGTCTTGTGTTATGCAATCTCCTGATTATAGAACAGAATTAATTTACCCTCAGTGATTAAATGAGTCCCACGTCACTTTGGTGACCCAAAAAACACCTCCTCTTCCTCTTCACCTTCATCATCATCATCATCATCATCATCATCCCCACCATCACCATCATGTATCTCCTCACAGATTCTGTCTTTCTACTCTCTAAAGGTTCTCTCTGTCAATATTTTTGTGCAAAGAGTTCTCTTGAGTAAATCACTGTTAATGGGGGTAACACACACACACACACACACACACACACACACACACACACACACACCTTGTTTAACCTGAGGTGGAAAACTCACTAACACTGATTTCTGTGTGCAGAAATGCTACAGGATGTACTCTTATTAACATATCAGTGAGTTGGTTATAATGTGTTTTTGGCCTTTCTTATCAGCTCCAAATGTTTGTTTGTTTGCTTGTTTGTTAGTTTGTTTTTTGTGGTGATGGAAAAAAACACTTTTTCAAAAATTTGCACATTTCAAGAAGTGGAGTGTTGGTCTTGATTTTTAGGTAAAAGGTGTTTAGTTCTTTTAAACTGGGTTTCTGTGGAGAGGTTATACTAAACATCGTAGTAAAGCTCTTTGAACAACCTCAGTTTGGAGAAACAGATCAGGTCTGACTAGATAAATGAGCTAACGGCTAACCCTAGCGGATCCAAGGCCATCATAACACAGCTCTGATCTGAAAGACGTAACAGATGTTTATCTAACGCTACGTTTTGTAAAACTCCACGCTTCTGTCACAATGCATGATTTACAGAAGATTCTTACAGAAAGCAGCTCGTCTACTATCTCTCCAGATCTCTCCATCCCTTCAGACGGGATATAAATAATTCAGCCTAAATGAAGCGAGCATGTGTGAACATGTGGTGCATTCACTGACCTAACAGAGAGAGAAAACTCTCCTGGGGCTGATTCACTCTCCCTCACCAGAAACACTCCTGTTTCCTGCCAGCGCAGACGCTCCTCAGCTTCAAGTCGGGACACCGCACCTGCAAACCAACTGCAGCAGCAGACAGAAACGTCTATTAAAAATGTTAAAGGCATTCCCACATAGGCTGGGACTTCAACAAACAGCATCTATTTTTTTTAATCAAAAATGATAATAAAAAACTAAAAATAAAGGTTAAAACCTCCCAACTTTGGAAACTACATCTCAAATGTGTAAAATGAGTAGTTTTCTGTTTACGGATGAGGGAGTAGGTAGATGTAGTTCTCTGGTACGTAGCCTCGCTTCCCCTGGATCTCCGATGTGAACCAACAAGAGTCTTCCTCCATTTCTGTCACCTAAAACACACACAGACAGGACACCTAAAACAACACAATCACTACTAAAAACACGCAGAAATCCCTCTAAAGCATCACAATCCTGCGGCCGTACTTTGACAACGTCCCCCTTCTGAAAACTGATCTCGTCTGGCTCTGATGCTGCAAATGAGAAGAGAGCCACAGCCTCCATGGTGGTGGGAGAGAGGAGTGAGATAGCTGAGGGAGAGGAGTGCAGCAGAGGGACGTCAGGGTGACATAGTCCATGTGTGTGGCTGACAAGTTAATGAGGAGTGTTTTCAGCCCGTGTGTCCTTCTCTTCATCCACGTGATTGAGCCTGAGCTCATCCGCGCCGTCCTTTAGCAGAAAACAGAAGTTCAGTTTCTCACCACTTGTCACATTTAGAGCTCTCCTCGGTAGCAGTGATGAGAGCTGCACACCTGAGCTGAATATCAGGAAAGAGATTCCAGGAATCACAACCAAGAAACAACACCAACTTAGTATCAACTGGGATTTATTTGAGTTTTTACATCATGACTCTGAAAACATGGCTGTCAGAAGAGAATCCTCTCTGTTTAAATCAATAATCAATGGCTGTTCTGTCACATTTCCTGTCCTGATGTGTGGATGGGAGTCAGCAGCAACAAGCTCCACTGACTGGATGGACTTTATCTCATTCAAACACATTTCCTGTTCCAAACTTCTACTGATTCGGTCGATTTTAAGGCCACTTTGACGTCCTGTCTACATTTACCATCACAGTTGATTTTACTCCTATAAAAAAAGCAGAATTTTTAAACTAATCTATATCGTAGGTCAGTTACTGAGTTTTAATTAGGACTGTCTTATGTTAGGAAATGATGCAGTTACTTTGGTCCATTCTTTATGAATATATTTATTATTAGAGATGCACGATGCATCCGCATCAACATCGGCCTGTGCTAGTCGGTATCGGTCTAAAACTGGGCCGGTGTTAGCAAACAATATTTTCCTCCACCTAGTAGCCATTTGTGTATCAGTTTCAGAAGGGGAGGGGGGTGATGGTGCGCGATAGTTTGGTCATGTGACAGTGATGGTGGTTATTCCAGAAGTGTACATGTTTGCGTGTAAATTCTCAATGAAAATGTCATTTTAAATGTGGTTTTCCGGTTTATTTTCTTTTTGAGGCATATTGGTGATGAGGAAATCTTTTTTTTCAAAAGAAAAAATAAATGTCAGAAGGGTGAAAAAAATATATATACATATATATAAAATGAAACCTTCAACTGACTAAATGCAAATTTTATACTGAATTCAATCAAAATCAAAAGGGTCAACTCGGGTCTCGGACCAGAACCTTCTCTGCTCTCTGCTAAAAACAGCCTGGAGCACTCAACTACTTTCATGTTGTGTAATAATTAATCTTTTAATTCTACTCAGCCACTCATCAGTGACACTTTTTACTAAATTTGATTAAAGACTGATCTAAAATAAATCAGCCACAACATTAAAACGTCCTCACAGGTGAAGAAAACATGTATGAACGACTCTTGTTCCCACCCATGTGTGTGTGTGTGTGTGTGTGTGTGTGTGTGTGTGTGTGTGTGTGTGTGTCAGTAACAGTCCACTATGACCTCTAGCCCTGGTTCTGAGTTCAGCTGGGTGTTTCTGCTGCCTGCAGTGAGAATGTCCTGCAGCAGAGACATGGGGGAGTTATGTACGTGGTCGCTGCTTTGCGTCAGAACACTCAGCCTCGCGTCTAAACCCAGAGACCTCAGCACCTCACACACACTTACACGCACCATGCAACCTTCATCACGCACACCTCCCTGCTCAGGTTTACGGTCATCTCCAGGATCAACAACATCAGATTTCTGAGCAGGGTCCGCATCCTCGATTCCCAGTATTTTCCGGACCTCCTGGGCCCAGCCACATCCAGGCAGCTCACAGGACACTCCGGGCTCGTCTGGTGCAGAGACCCTTTGGTCTCCTAGTAACAGAGGACAGACGGAGTCTCTGAGTCTCATGAGCAGCTGACAGGCCTTCAGTCCAACAGGCCTGTCACAGTCAACGAGACCACCCAGCAGCACCAAGAAGACTCCCTGATCAACCAAAGTGCTCAAAACACCGACTAAATCTGACTCCCCGTCCCATGTGTGTGCCTCAGAGTGCAACTGAAGCTTGAAGACTTTGTTAGACGTCACGGCGTAGGGATGAGGATGAGCTCCTGGCTCATTTGAGTAACCACGAAGACCTGAGATGACTCGGTCCATCAGCAGCTCAGCCAGCTCCAGAGTGTGAACTTTGACCTCCCAGTCTAGATCAGCACTGCCTTGTGAGAGGACAGCATGCATGGACTGCATGAGAAGTGAGCAGGAGGTGGGCGAGGGGCACAAGGAGAACCAGGTGATAAAGTACTGAAGGACAGCCCTCCTAGAGAATCCCTCCGTGTCCTGGGAGAGGATTTCATGCAGCCGACTCACAAGTTCAACCTGAAAGGACAAAAAAAAGGTGATGAACAATCACTTTATCTTATTTATTGATAAAAACAACCAGTTCCATTTCCACCTGCCTGCTCCTGTGTGGGTGCTGCCCCCTGCTGCCAGCTGGGTGCCAGTGTCTGGGCCAGAGCAGAGATGGAGCTGGCTCTCACGTAGCTCTCTGGATCCTGCAGTGCCTCCTTGAGGAGAGAAACGGTAAAGCAGCGGTCGCCCAGCAGAACCTCAGACGTGTCACACAGCCCTGCTAGGTGTCCCAGAAACTCCACGGTCGAGTCTCTCACCTCCCAACGCACATCACACACACGCTTTCCCACCACCTGGATGAGATCTAACACGGACGAGCGTTACGCCACTTCTGTCCACATGTGGATCCAGAACTCAGAGCTGCAGCAAAGAGGGGCATACCTTTTCTGAGCTGGTCTGTTATCGAGGAGAGATCCGCACACGCACTAATCCACTTCATCAGAGTTCGGTACGACTTCTGGAGGACCTGAAAAACACCCGTCCACACGCACACAGTTATAAATACTCTAGTCACAGCAGACATTTTTATGTCCACCAACCTTTCTTTCAACATTTCTTTATTTCTTCTTGAAATTATATCTCATTTGACCTTGTATCAGTTTCTGAGGCAACCATTTTTGTGCAAAAACTGCAAAAAACACCAGCCTCTCCCAAGTGTGTGTGTGTGTGTGTGTGTGTGTGTGTGTGTGTGTGTGTGTGTGTGTGCGTGTGTTGTGTTGTGTGTGTGTGTTTTGGGTTTAAGTGTGGGGAATCTGGCTGCTCTACAAAGGCAATGAAGCCCTTTAACATGAACAAAGTACACAAACAGTTCAAAAGGCATCAGATTTACAATTAAAACAATAAAACAAGACACACTATTTAATGAAATGTCAGAATCATTTGTAAAATATGGTGTTTAAATAAAAAATTATACCCATTTCGTGTTTTCTTTTGTATTCATTGGATAAATTCTGTATTTTTGTCATCTTTTTGTTGTTTTGCATTTAAATACTCCCCTATGTTGTACTGGAAGGTAAAAACAAAGCATACAGTAGAAAAACACAGAGTTACATACTGAGAAATTAGTTAAATTGATGCAAAGGAAGTACAGAAAATCCTCTACATCCAGCAACAGTACTGCTCAACGTTTGGAGCCAGCGTGAATCTAAAAGCAGATTTAAAGTGGTGAAGTTGATCATCTACTCTAAAAAATGGAAGACATGGATTTTGGTGATCAAACACACACAAGAACTTACAGTGGGCTCAGAAGCAGGACTGTTCAGATACTGCATGAGAAGTGTGAACACCTCCGCCAGCAGGACTTTCCCTCCTGAGACAAAAACAAGATAAAATCAGAGCCACTTTTGTACAAAAATCTACATTTATGCCCCCCCAAAGCAATAAGTCTAGTTGTTTTAACAGGATTACCACGCCCTGGATGACTTTAAATGAGCCGGATTAAATTATTTTGCTCCCAAACTCAGGAGGGTCTATTTCATACACATTGTTTTAAAGACAGTTTACTCAATAAGATGGAAAAATGCACAACATTTGTTTGAATTTAGGTTAATTATTTATTATACTAGAATCAATCAAAAATGCATAGGATTATTTTAGGATAAGAAATATATCCAGTGAATATTTTACATCGCTCAGAGGTTAGTTTAAATCATAAGCAGACACTAACTAGTTGATCTTGGTTGATTGGTCACATGGACAAACATGGACTACCATGCTGCAGGGGGGCAGTCTAATGGAAGCAGGGAAGAGTGGGTCCAAGCAGCTAGTCAGCGCTTTGATTGGCCGCTGCTATTCATCCCCGTCTTCGGTCTTCATCAAAGTAATTTAAAGGGATACTCTACCCAAAAGTTACATTTTGTCTGTTGACATATTTTCCAGCGTTAGAAAAGTGGGAAAAAAACATTTTCAACCAGCCCAGTTATTGTCCTGACCCAGCTGTACTTCTTTAGCTTAGCATAAAACACTGTAAGCGAATGGGACCAACTATCATTGTGAGGAAAAAAAGTCTGTTCAAATCACTCAGTAGTGATACAAATTGTATTGAGCGGCCTAAATAATCATCAATCAATCAGATTTATTTATATAGCACCTACCACCACCTTATCAGAGGCCCAAGGTGCTGAACTGCACATAAAAACAACATAGTAGATAAAAGAGAGAAAAAATTATTAAAAAAATAGAAAAGTACAAGTAAAAGTAATTAAAAACCATACAGTACAAAAGGTGAAAATACGAAAGCCAGGGTCAACGATGCTGGGGAAAGCTAGTAGATAAAAGAGAGATTTCAGGAGAGACTAACTCCTGTAGAGAAGGAGCTTGCTTCACTGCCAGAGGGAGCTCATTCCAGACTGTAGGGGTCATTACTGAGAAGACCCGGTGTCGGTGCAGGATCTGCTCGGGTGCAGGATCGGCTCGGGGTCCTTCGACTGCCGATGACGTCACATTACTGCAACTCTACTCGGCTTTCACACACACGTTTTGGAAAGACATCAGCAGTTTTGTTAATAAATTCTTGTTTGTTAACATCTAAATGTTTTCTTTATAATTGTAATTTGTTGATAAAACACCATATTATCTTTGTTTTGTAAAGAATGTGAAACTGCATAAAACCAACATCGGACTGACAAACAAACAGTTCTTATATGTGAAGCCACGTCTGTTTGTATTAACGTGGAGTTCATCTGTATAATTCCTTAGTTGTTATCTAAATACATTCTTTGACTCAAAATGTTGCTTGGTGTCTTTCAATAAAGTTCTTATGTTTTATTTTGCCCCCTTTCATCAACATCAAGAGCTTTTGAGGGTCACCGTTTATCATTTGCTTATATTTTACATTTACTTTAGAAATTCAAACATATTTTCTCCAAAAAGTGTTGATTTTTGGACTACAGGACTACAACCGCTAAGACTACGGCCACAAATTTGTTCTGACCAATCAAAATCATGATGTGATAACGTAACTTCCGTAAGCTTCATGTTCAGCCAATCAACTACTTTGACGTCATTGGCAGTCGAAGGACCCCGAGCCGATCCTGCACCGACACCGGTCCCCTTGATCTGAGTTTAGAGCGGGGGACTTCCAGCCACTCCTGCTCAGCAGAGCGAAGAGCCCGAGTGGGGACACGCCGCTGCAACAGTTCAGCAAGATATGGGGGAGCACTGCCCTGCAGCACCCTGATCACATAGAGGAGAATCTTAAATCTTGCCCCGGTAGCCAGTGCTTAGAAGCTACCACTGGCATGATGTAGTCTCTCCTTCTGGTCCCAGTCACAAATCTCGCAGCGGAGTTTTGGACTAGCGGGAGTCGTGCAGTAGTAGCTTGACTCAGTCCAGCATACAATGCATTACAGTAGTCGATGTGGGCATGATAAAAGCATGTTCTGCTGTTTCCAGATGTACTCTGGACAGGAGAGGCTTTGTCTTGGACAGCCGTCTCAGATTAAAAAAACATGCTCGAACAACCATGTTTATTTGTGCATCAAATCAAAGGGGTGCATCAATTTTCACCCCTAAATTAGTGACCACATTCTTCTGACATTGTGTCATGGAATCAAGATCAATCTCATCACCTGCTCCAGCTCTCTCACCAGGGCCGGGTATTATTACACCAGTTTTAGAATCATTTAGGAAGAGGAAGTTAGTCGCCATCCATGACTTAACTTAACTGCATGTTGAAATAAAATGAACACAAAGGAATTCCAGGCGTTATTTCAGACTTGGGACTACTTAATGATAGAGTTCATTTATAAGCTTTCGCCAATAGGCGCAAGGACATGGGTTGGCGTGACACTGCTAAATGCTGGTACATTTTCTCGAATTACAAACATAATGTGTTATGGAAGTAGGTGTCTTTAGAGCCACTGCGTGATGTTCTTATAAATTTTCACTTTTGAGTGGAATATCCCTTTAAAGAGGGACAATATGGGTTTACGTCCTTGTCTTGATAATGCAGCCAACTTTGCAGCAAACTGTTGATGATGAAAGGCTACAAACTAGCTTGTTTAGGCTAGCTTCACAGGAGTTTCAACATGCCTACAAAGTTTCTCTGCTGTTCGTGAGAGACGTGATGTCACGTGCAAAGGGTCAATAGCAGCCAAAGTGGGGGGGGGGGGGGGCGTGGCCAGCTCCAGCTTGTTTTCTTAAAGTGACAGAGCCCTGAAACTGCTCATTCTGGAAGGTACTGAAACTGTCAAGAACTGCTGAAACTGCTTTATGTGAGTGATTTTATACTTCTTCAACATGATTTGTATTGACCAAAGTATTAATACAACTTAAGAAAAAAGTCAAAATATGTCCCCTTTAAAATTTGTAACCAGCTTGAAGCAGAAACAGTTTAAAGTTACAGAAGATTTGTTTGGACCTGAACATTTGGACATTGTCCCGTTGTCGTACCTGAGCTGTTGCTGAGGACCGACAGAACATCAAGAGCACATTTCTGAACTTTTCCGCTGCCTATAAGGTTCCTGCCAGCTTCAGCACAGCCACTGGACGAGGAGCCGTCTCCATTGCAGAGCCTCAATAATGACAAAACTGCAGATACAATTAAAACTGGTGGACAGGGGAGGCAGTCGGGATCCTGAGGAGGAGAGACAGAAAAACCTAAGAGACTTTTCTAAGAATTAGATGGCCTCACTATCTGGTCCTTCAACTCACCATGAGTGTGATCTGTGGAGTGTTTGCTAGACTGGCACAAATCATGGAGATGCAGGAAGATTTACTCTTGAGATACTCCATCATTGGAAGGCGAAGCTTGTCTGCTGCAGTAACAATTGGGAAGAATTCATGAAGTATATTTCGGTCTTAAAATGCACACACCTGTAAGGGTTACCTGTGCTGTTTTGTCCCAACAGACTGAGTCCAGTAATGATGTCAAGAGGAAGCAGCAGAACTCTAGCAGCTTGAGCTTTATGGACACAGTCACTGGGGGAGAACGATACATGTCACTATCACCTTTAAACACTAATGGTTTCTACTGGTGAACCAACAGCTCAGTGCAGAAGGTCAAGCTGTGCTGTGTGAAGCTTACTCATGCCCGCTGCGGAGAAAAGCAGCTGCAGTGTAAGAGAGGTCCGCAGGTTTCCCCGTGTTCAACATGATGGACAAAAGGCGATCAACACGCTGGTTCAAGGCATGATGCTCACTTTTACTGCTGCTGAGACAAGCAGAAGGAGGTGAAAACGCTGAAGCATTGTGCATGAAGTCACACATTAAGCATGCAGAGAGAGGCACACCTGTGTGCAGCCTGAACAACATCCATCAGAGACCGAGTGAGCTGGCTGCAGTTGGTCGTCACCAGTTCCTCCAGAGAGTCTGAGACCGTCAGCAGCAGTCGGTCCCTCAGATCTGGCCCGGCCCGGCTCAGGAGCAGGGCGAGCACTTTGAGAGCCTGATGACTCTGAAACAGTGCTGAAGTTCCGTCGAGAACTAGTGACTTCTTGAGATACTCGCAAAGCTTCACGGTAACAGTGCTGTAATTCTGTTTGGTTTCCACGGGAACAGTCAGGTGTTTTGAGTTGTTTTGGGAGTTTTCAGACTGACAGAAGAGCAAGATGTGAGCGAGCATGTGATTAGCAGCCGAAGCAACAAATAGGCTTGTGTCTGTGTGAAGGTGTAGGAGTGGTTCAATCAAATCTGAAGAAGGAAAACATGGAGATGTAAATTACTTAATAAAAAGAGAAAAATCTCTATCTGAAATTTAAACATCTGCTCAGAGAGTGATCAGTACCTGCTTGCACAAAGAAGCCAAGAGCTTTTGAATGCTGCAGCATCGTCCTTAAGCCTTGGATCCAACCTATCCGTATACAAGGATCCTTCCAGAGCCCAGCCTCCTGCCAGCGTTGAGGGTCAAACACCAGGTCACACAAAGAGTGCTCCTAAAACAGAGAGGCTCCATCACAGGCAGCTTAACACCGTTTAGTAACTTTTAGTTTGAGAATAACTTTTTGCTTTCCTTGACATTGAATGTGCTACTACTAGTTTATCCGTTTAATTATAGATCCACTAGGACAAATACAATAAAGTTTATCTTTCACCAAATAGAATATTTACTAAGACATCACAATATAACTATAGACACACTACTTGTGTGTGTGTGTGTGTGTGTGTGTGTGTGTGTGTGTGTGTGTGTGTGTGTGTGTGTGTGTGTGTGTGTGTGTGTGTGTGTGTGTGTGTGTGTGTGTGTGTGTGTGTGTGTGTGTGTGTGTGTGTGTGTGTGTGTGTGTGCCTGCTCTGTCTTCTCGATCCCCAGTGAGTCGTGGAGGATGGCTGCTTATACTGAGCCAGGATTCTCTGGAGGTTTCTTCCTGTTAAAAGGGAGTTTTCCTCTCCACTGTCGCTTTATGCTTGCTTAGTATGAGGATTGCTGTAAAGTCACTAACACTAGTCAGTGACTTGATGCAATTTGCTGGGTTCCTTATGTATGAAAAATTATTTCTGATTGGCTTAATGAACTGACCTGACCAGGTTTATTATGTGAAGTGCCTTGAGACGACTCTTGTCGTCATTTGGCGCTATATAAATAAACTTGAATTGAATTGAATAGTGATTACAGGAGTTACGAGACTTACCTGAAGAACTTTAAAGCCATTCTCAGTAGCTGAGATTAGGCCGGTGAGTTTCAGCGTGAAGGAGAGGATGCTGGCATCTGAGGCAGGGCTGTTGTTAACTACGGTCGGTATGAAATCAAGCAGACAGGGGAAGGCCTCCAGCAGAGAGACTCCTTCATCAGGTGACATTACAAAACAAAAAGGTGTCACTTAGACACTTAGCTGTGGAAAACTAGATCTGAAAACAACACATTCAGTTAGGTTTCAAGAGAATCTGTTTGGTAATACCTATTCTCCAGTTCCGTATCTACAGACTTTCACCAAATGCAATTTCAACTGACTTAGACATGTGTCCTTTGTACAAGGGAGAATGTTACTTTAGGTATTTTTAATGTCATTTATGACATTAATTATTGACATATAACATTAATTAGGACTATCTGAATATAATTTTAATAGAGAAACTCGCTATAATCTAATAGAAAAACAAATAGGAGTGCTTGCCAGTTATCTTCCAGCCTTATTTGCATCCATTAGGCTGTTTTAAATTAAACATCTCCATTTTACTTTATTTAAAATTAGTTCACAATAAATAAATAAATAAATAGCCAACCAATGAATAATCAGCAGTAGGAGAAAGTAATTTATACATTGAGTGACTACTGGAGCACAAGCCCTCCAGGTTGTTACTGACCATCCTTGGTGAGCGCTGTGAACCAGTCCAGGAGTTTCTCCAGACTGGTATCATCGGGCAGAGAGCTTCCTGAGGCTGCTAGCACCTCACACACCCGCGGCAGGACTGTCACACACTCTCGGTCCATGCTACTGACTAAACGTGTGTTAATAAACGTTACACTGACCTTCTGCTCAACGCTGCATTACTGTAAACGAGCACTGCTTAATGACACATTAAAATGTTTTTATTTTTCGCTCAAAATGAAAGTTAGATCGTTGAGCACATCTCGCGGGAAAAATTCATCACCGCCAGCGCGTCGCTCCACTGTTTTAGCGTGAAGTGAGTCGAACAAATATGGCTGCCTAATTCACTGATCTCTAAACAACTCGGTGAGCTACATCAATGTAAACCGCCGCGCGCTTCCGGTCCTTGTGCCTTACAACTCATTTCTCCGCGGCACGTCTACGCGCTCGCGAGCAGCTTCCGGTGCTGCGTTTCCGTCTCTTCGTCCATTTTCGCACATGCTGCCGCACCGGTCGCTCCTCGTTAGCCTCTCATTTTTTGGGATTTTCATCCCTCGTCGAGAGAATTACGACTTATTCTAACGCTAGATGCAAGACACGGCGGCCATGGTGGACGACCCTGAGTATGAAGAGGAGGAGCCCTCCTTCAGCGATCCGGAGGACTTCGACGATGACATCGAGGACGAGGGTTAGCGGTAGCAGGAAAAACGCCGGCTATCCGGCCTAGTGCTAACTAACCATTAGCTAAGAGACCGATAGCGGTTATGCTCCAAATGGTAGAAATATTACGCGGTGGTCCACCAGAACTTGATAAAAATGTTTAGTAGTCCATAATAGCTTCGTTAACCGAAATAGTGGTGCAACATTTTTTTGTCTCAGCCCCCCACCCTGATGCTATCTGCTACACGTTACGCCCGTTAGCCTCACCTAGACCCCAGACAGCTTACTCAGCGTGGCCTATTTGAAAACGTGCAGGGACGGACCTGAATGCATGAGAACAATCCTCCTGTAGCTGAATGGAGAGTGTGTGCGATTGCAAATGAGCAGCTTGACTTTACCTACACAGTCAAACGCAAAATTAAAGGTTTCTGCTCAGATAGGTGTGCCTAAAATTCATTAAGCGAATTTTGGTAGCAGTACAAAACCGCCCCCCGCCACAGTAGCTTTTATTTGGGTTTTAGACTTAAGATCGGCTTTATAATTAGTAAAAGATTTACTAGCAGTGATCGTTAATTTACTCCATTAAACACAAGTTTCACTTGTTTAATCAAAACTTTGACGCTATTTATTTAATTGTAATTAACTTGAGTTTGTAAAAGCAATGTGTCGTCAAAATATAAGAAGTTTCAGATGATGAGATGTTTAAATTCCAAAGTAAAATAAAATCTTGTGAAAGTTTCCCAAGAGCGATCTAGTTGCACCTAGTTTATAAGCCAGGTATTTGCTAATTACACAAAACGTGTAACTTAGTCTGGGCTTTTGCAGAAACACAACATGGGGGTATTGTAAAGTAAAAACATGTAAAAAAAAATAATAATAATAACAATGGAAAGGCAATTATTCGTTTTCTCAAGAATAATTAATTTTAAATGAATAAATTAAGCTTAATTGTTTTGAGGTAGTATTGACTGTATAAATTATATATATATATTTAATTTATCACATAAGTTAATCAAATACTCATCGATTCTTTGACAGTTTGCATCTGTAAAAATGCCAGTTTCATAGAACATACTTAACTAATCTTTCTTTGTCCGCAGAGCTCCTGGATGACATCCTGCGGGAAAAGCCCCAGGAAGCGGATGGGATAGACTCTGTGGTTGTGGTGGACAATGTTCCTCAGGTGGGCCCAGAACGTTTGGAAAAACTCAAAAACGTCATACATAAGATCTTCTCCAAGTTCGGCAAAATCACCACAGAGTTTTACCCAGAGGCTGATGGCATGACCAAGGGGTACGACCTAGCTGTCTCTTTCTTGCGTTGTTTATCCACGGCTCCACACTTAAATCCAAATACGTGTAACCTAACTTGTGTTTCTGCGCAGGTACATATTTTTGGAGTATGCCGCTCCCACTCAGGCCCTCGAGGCTGTGAAGAATGCAGATGGATACAAACTCGACAAACAGCACACGTTCAGGGTCAACCTCTTCACTGACTTTGATAAGTATGTTTGCAGAATAGGCCAATAGATTTGTTAAACTAACACAAGCCTGACTGAAGTTGTTCATTTCATCTTTTTTGAAACATTTAGGTACATGAACATTTGTGACGAGTGGGAAGCTCCAGAGAAACAGCCTTTCAAAGATTTTGTGAGTTCCACTCTTTATTTTCTTGTGAGGTCCTTATGCTCCATCCTCAGTTTGCTCTTGTTCTCTGTTCAGGGGAATATGCGTCACTGGATCGAGGATCCTGACTGTCGTGATCAGTATAGTGTGATCTACGAAGCTGGAGAGAGGACGGCCATTTTCTCAAATGACGCTAAAGAGCCAATAATAAATGAGGAGAGAGCGGTAAGGTGGTAATTATTAACAGCAATCAGGTTAATGTGATGTGAGGAAAACCTAACGATTTTGTGTTTGGATACAGCGCTGGACAGAGACGTACGTCCGCTGGTCTCCTAAAGGCACTTACTTGGCTACTTTCCATCAGCGGGGTATTGCATTGTGGGGCGGCGAAAAGTTCAAACAGATCCAGAGGTTCAGCCATCAGGGTGTGTCGCTCATCGACTTCTCACCGTGTGAGAGGTAATCCGCACAAAGCCTGCCAAGTCTGATCTCAGTTGATCATATTTGTAATGAGAATTTTTTTTTTCCACCAAACTTTTTTTTTCCTTTCTGTGGGACACTTTGCAGCTTCTTCATATTTTTAAATAATTTTCCTGAGCCAGTGTGTGCTGAAATAACCCTTTACAGGTTTAATGAAAGGCCACCCAGACCCTATCGCCAGAACATTCCTTCTGTTGGGACTTAAAAAAGTTGAGCTGACATAACTGGCGCTGCAGTCTGGTTCCGGACCTTTTCCCTTATGTTTTAGATCGTGAACACTAGGGCTGGGCGATACATCAATATTTTTTAAATATCTGTATAATTATTAAACAAGATATAAGATGACTTAATATTTTTGTATCGATTTAACTGGTCAAACGGCTATGCTAGCGATTAGCCGCTATGCTAGGGACATGTCGCTCTGTCTCTAAGCAGCTATTCTCACAAGATTGCTCAATCTGAGAGCCTCTGGGTAAATGTGCTGTTCTAAACTTTGCATTTGGCGTCCTGGTTTTTAATTATTTGGGGACGTTCAACGCCAACGGAGTTCTGTTTATCCATCCTGCTCGTGCGGAGACGAGCCAAACACCTCCCTCCCCTGTGTAATCGGGAAACATCTACATGTAGCCAGAGTGGCCAAATCACCTCAAACATATTGTAAGGGTAGAATAGTAAACTATAGGGTTAATGTTTTATTTTGAAGGCGAGCTCAGCGGGTGAGAAATTTTGTTCTGATTTTTTTCCGCTCTGGTTAGCTATGCTAGTAAATACTCCATTACGAGCGATTCAGTTGAAAAAGTTCAGAGTTTGTAAGGTGTGGGTTACAGCGACAATAGCATGCAAATCCTCCCCATAAAAGAGCAACCAGAGACTGAGTCACTACAGTATAATCGCTGATATGAGTCAATACTGTTAGATTGCAGCCATGTTTGCCCTCATAACTAATAACTCCACTGTGCGTGACCCAGTAGATGCAATTACATCATCATACATCTAGTTTAACATGATAGATTTTTTTTCTCTGGGCAATAAATATACGATATGGGCCACCTCTAGATGACTAATTGTACATTAATTATAAATATATATAAATAAAAAGTGCCTGTGGGACATTTGATACACCTCCAGCTCTCAAGTGTGTGTGTGTGTGTGTGTGTGTTTGTTAACTGACAGCTGTACCAGTGTTTCTAAAGCACAGACTGGTAGAGAGTAGGCACTAAGGTTAGAGTTTGACAAGAATCAGTACATTTTTATGCATTTAATCTACTGATTTATGTTTATAATTTGTCAAGACAGCTTGAAGTGAGTTAACTTGTAAATATTTTACAGGAGGAAAAATATCGAGATATATATCGTATATCGGAATTCAGCTAAAAAATATCGAGATATAAGTTTTTGTCCATATCGCCCAGCCCTAATGATCACAGATTATTTGTTTAATTTAGTGATGGATCACTCCTATAAACTCTAATGAAAGCTGGGGAGACATTTCAGCTGTTGGATTAAGGTGTTAAAAGAACGAACGCACAGCGAGACGATAAGTTTTGCTTTCGGTTCTACAAACACTAGGGGGTGCTAAAAGCGAGCCAAAACTGCCTAGTTTCTTGTAGAAGTGATCTTTATTTTTATGTTATTGCAGTTAATGTTTCTTCCGGCGGGGAATCACATCAGCATACACTTTTAATAGAAAATATGATCAATAAAATATGAAAAAGTGATTTAGCAGATCCTGTTTGTTAGTTATAGTGACTTGGAAATAAAACATTAAAGATAAACACAAACCATGCTTTGTAGGTAGCATTAGCCAAACTGATTTTACTGAGTTTTATAAAACGTGCTGTTGGTTCCTGCAGGTATGTTGTCACCTTCAGTCCACTGATGGACACCAAAGAGGACCCACAGGCTATCATCATCTGGGACATTCTGACTGGACAGAAGAAGAGAGGCTTCCACTGCGAGAGCTCGGCACACTGGCCCATATTTAAGTCAGAACACTACTTTTGTTCTTTCTCTTTAATTTTAAATGCAGATTTATGTTTGGGTGTGTTTTAACTGGACAGGATTTCTCTCAGGTGGAGCCATGATGGGAAGTTCTTTGCTAGGATGAGCACAGACACGTTAAGCATCTACGAAACTCCAGTAAGTAAATTAAGAAGCACCATTTTTTTAATGAAATATGATATATATAGTTATAATAGTTATGATTTTAAATAGGGTTGGGTATCGAGCATCGATTGGAACCGGTTTCAACTGTTAGTTTTTCCCGGAATCGTTCAAAGTTTTTTATTTCGATTCCTAGTTTTGATTCCTAGAATGCCGACCGGAAGAGGAATCCGCGGCTGATCTCCGTGAAAAATAAACGTGATCTGCAATCTGTGATCAACGCTTTTCAGAGCTGATCACACCAGCTGTCTGTGTGCAGCACCGAGTCTCCTCCCCTCACCCACCCTGCACGCAGCGGCCAAATATAAACAAACGCCTCTGCCGAACTTTTACTCCGTAACGTAAACTTTACCTCCTGCAGCGTAGAGGAAACGTGTTAAAATACGTCAACACGGTGGATTTAATAGAAGCTTTAAAGAACAAACTCTGGATGGTGTGAGGTGAGTTTGTCTCACTGCAGAAATAAAAACACACACGGAGCGTCAGCAGTCAGACGCAGCCACTCACCAACACTCGTGTGTGTGTATGCGCGTGTTTGTGTGTGTGTGTGTGTGTGTCAGAAGGCTGAACAATAACCTGTAGAATAATTAAAGTCATGCTAGAGCAGCTTCTCTGTGGTGGACCACACCAGCCACAATAAATAACTATAATAAATCACACACAATGTTGTGAACATTTTAATTTCCTTTCTGAACTATTTCTGTTGAGTTTTATGTTTAAAATCTGTTAGGTTGTTACTGACAGCAGCTACATTTAAGTTCCACTTCCTGTTCTGACTGAATGCTGCAGCAGCATGGAGGTGTAGCTCTCAGTCATCCTGGACATGATCATCCTGAGATTTTTAGCTGAAAACAGCTGGACGTTTCTGGATATGTTGGAGACATTCAGCCTCTCATCCCAGAGGCTTCCTCCAGACTTTGGTTGTGGTCAGAAACAAACACACTGGTTGTGCTGCAAGTGTTTTTCTTTTTTCTCCAAAACATGTTTTTGTCTAAATGAAGGTGTTGTTGTTCATAGAGTTAAAATTCATGTTGAAGTTAAGATTATTTCATCGAGTAGGACCTGTGGTTAGCTGGCTCATGGAAAACATGGACTGTCTGGAAAGAATCCGAATCAGGAATCAATAGGAACCGAAATTGAATCGAGGAATTGGAATTGGAATCAGAATCGTTCAAAATCAAATGATGCCCAACCCTAATTTTAAAGGTGTGTTTTTTCCCTTCAGTCAATGGGCCTGTTGGACAAGAAGAGTCTCAAAATTAATGGCATCAAGTAAGAGTTTTTAATCTCGTTATGAATTGTTGCTTATTACACTTTTATTGTTATATTGATGTGAATCTCGAGTTTGTTTGGTCTTTCCACAGGGACTTCTCATGGTCTCCTGGTGACAACATCATAGCGTTCTGGGTACCAGAGGACAAAGACATCCCAGCTAGAGTCACCCTGATGCAGATGCCGTCTCGTCAAGAGATCAGAGTTCGTAATCTCTTCAATGTAGTTGACTGCAAACTGCACTGGCAGCGAAATGGAGATTATCTGTGTGTGAAAGTGGACAGGACTCCCAAAGGAACTCAGGTATGCAGCCAGAGATAGACTGTCTTTATATCTTATTGGATTTACGATAAAAGGCCCATCTCTGTTCGGTTCCAGGGTGTTGTCACCAACTTTGAAATCTTCCGAATGAGAGAGAAGCAGGTTCCTGTAGATGTCGTGGAGATGAAGGGTGAGAGCAAAAAAAAGAAGCATTTTTGCATCTATTTTTGACCGTTTTATTTTATAGAAGTAATCTAATGCGATCCGTTCGTGTCCTGTCTTCTTAGAAAGCATCATCGCATTTGCCTGGGAGCCCAACGGCAGCAAGTTTGCTGTTCTCCACGGAGAGTCTCCCAGAATCAACGCTTCCTTCTATCACGTCAAAAACAACGGGAAGATCGAGCTCATAAGTCAGTTGGTTGGGCAGATGAGCGAAAGTCGTTTTTTTAGTGTCTTTACTCCCTCTTGTAATTTTTATTATTTTTACAGAAATGTTTGACAAACAGCAGGCAAACAGCATTTTCTGGAGCCCCCAGGGACAGTTTATGGTGCTGGCTGGACTCAGAAGGTAGGGTGTGTGTGTGTGTGTGTGTGTGTGTGTGTGTGTTTTCTCTCAAAAGCCGCTGATGATAAACTTTATTTTCTGACACCTCATATGAGAGCTTTGCTCCTGATTCTAATGCTGTTCTGAGGCTTGTATCTTTTCTTTCACCTTTCACCTCTTGCACCTGCCCCAGTACCAAGTCTTTGTTTTGCCTCTGTGTTCAGTATGAACGGCGCTCTAGCCTTCGTGGATACCTCTGACTGCACCTTGATGAACATAGCAGAGCACTACATGGCCTCTGACGTAGAATGGGACCCGACCGGCCGATACGTCGTTACCTCCGTCTCCTGGTGGAGCCACAAGGTGTGTCCTGCTTCCACAAACTCACTCGCTCTTCTCTTCTGTTTAAACTCATCCCTTCTTTTGGACTCATTTGTCTAGGTGGACAACGCGTACTGGCTATGGACCTTCCAGGGCCGTCTCCTCCAGAAGAACAACAAGGACCGGTTCTGTCAGCTGCTCTGGAGGCCCAGACCTCCCACTCTGCTCAGCATAGATCAGATTAAGGTACCAGTTTGCCTGTAAAATGTGTGTCTGGAGCCGGTGATGACAGATAAAAACTTTCTGACACCTCGTATGAGAGCTGCACTCCAGCTCCTGATTCTATTTCTGATCTGAGGCTCATAAATACTTGACATGACATTTCAACCTCCTTGTTTTAGAACAGTCCTAATTAACTTGTGTTTTCCCTTGCAGATGATCAAAAAGGATCTTAAGAAATACTCAAAGATCTTTGAGCAGAAGGATCGTCTGAGCCAGTCCAAGGCTTCAAAGGTTTGACCTGTTCCTCCTTTTTGACATTTTACTCTTCATTGAAGTACAGATCTGTACATTCATGTTATCTCCTTCATCTTTGAAAGCTTGAGTCTGCCGACACTTAATTTTCTTCACTGCTGAAGTCATACAAATGTGTGTTTGTGAGCGTAGGAGCTGGTGGACAAGCGCAGAGCCATGATGGAGGAGTACCGTAACTACAGGGAGGCGGCGCTGCAGAACTATCAAGAACAGAAGAACCTCCGCCTTGAGCTCAGAGGAGGTGGGGCTCTGCTTTTACAAGCTCGACCTCGATGACCTCTGTGCTTCATTTTAACATTTGGATGGTTTGGTCTTCCAGGAGTGGACACTGATGAGCTTGACAGCAACGTGGACGACTGGGAGGAGGAGACCATTGAGTTTTTTATCAACGAAGAAATCATTCCCCTCGGAGATCTGTAGTCCGCTACGCAGGTAACACTTGATACGTGTAACAAACATGGCCACTGGTGTTTTGGTCCAGTGTTATGCTGGAATAACTGGAACAGCCCATTTTCTTTCTATTATAATTAGTTGCTTTGCACTTGGTGTCTGTATCAATGGTGTGATTTGGTGCTACTCTGATCTTCCTTTAGTCCATCTGTTGTTGTGTGGAAGGAGAGGATAGGAGCGGTGTCACTGACTGGAGAAGGACGACGGCCTCACTGTGACAAACGTTGGGTTCGTCTCGAGCCTCAGGTTTTCTTTTAGTGGCATCATCAAATCAACGTCTTGTGGATCAGCAGCCACATTGAGGAAAAAGAGAAGCTATCCAAATTATTTCTCTGCCTCACAATTGCCATTTTCTTCTTTGTGGAACTGGAAATTTAGTAAAACTGCCTTCATTTTTAAACATTGGTTGGAGTCAAAACTCTCAGCCCTATCTTAGTGGACCTTCTTCCTCCTGGGATTGATTCTGAACAGGCCTCATCATGCTGGTGTGTTGCTACAGCGCAGCACAGAGTGTCAAACCAGTGCATGAGGAAGGTGTTGAGTCAAAACCAGTAGCCTTGTCAACAAATGTGCTGATGTGGCGTTATAGTGGCCTGTATCCTCCTCCTTTCAGATTAGGCTTTCACACAGGGAGGGGGTGCGCAGTGGGAATAACTTTAAATAAACATTCTAACACAAGTACTCCTCTGTTCTGTTTTTGTGTCTTAAACAAGTTTTGTCCTGTTTTATTAAAATTTGTCAAAATGCAACAAAGGGTTTTTGAATGAATCTGTGGATAACAAATTCAGATTAGGGCTAAGTTTAGCAATGTCCCTGAGGTGAAAGAAGGAAGAGCGATCTAGAGAACTGACATGGTAGTCCAAAGTAAGAGCTGGGTCAAAGGTCACCAGGATTCCAGACAGGGTTTGGTGTGAGAAACAAGCTGACAGTCTCTGAGAACCAGCTTGTCTGGGGCACAGATTAGGATCTCAGTCTTCATTCAGCTGTAGAAAGTTACCAGCCATCCAGATTTTAATGGAGTGAGCAGATGTGTGACAGCTGCAGCTTGGACATCTCATGGGGTTTAAAGAGGATGTGCAGTTGGGTGTCATTTACATGAGGATGGTAGGAGATTCCTTAAAAGGACCTCAGAGTGCTGAAGGGGTAGCAGATAAAGGAGGAACAGTATTGACTCCAGCACATAACCTTGTGGAACCCCATGAGCAAGGGAGGTGGGGAAGAACCAAAACTTGCCAAAGAGATGAAATACTTGGACAAATAGGCGGCAAACTAATCTAGTATAGTTCCCGATAGGCCTAACAAGTAGCTTGGACATGAGCTGGAGTTTAGCGATGTCATCTCACAGTCAAAGCTATACTTAAAGGTTTTCTAAAGCATAACTCACAAAAAAGCTACCAAAGCTTATTTGCTGCTTTTGTTAGTGGATCAAACAGTTAAAATTATTTTAAGGTTTTGTATTTAATTGTATTTTCATGATGATAGCTGCATAATTCAAACTGGGTGTTTATTGAATAAATGCAATAATATTAATCAGTTTAAATGACTTGCAGTGATTTTTTTGGGGCACATTTGCATAAATATTTGGAGAAGGTACATGTATATACACATAGTGGGTGCTATTATTGCAAAGTAAATTAAAAACTTGGGTTCCAGAACAGCAGCGTACTGTAAGGGACACATTCAACTCTGGTATTGCTCAAGTAGTATATTTGTAGTATTAAGTATAAATGAGATTTTCCTTTAAATAATGTAGCTCAAACTGATCATGTAGCCTAAACAAAAAGCAACTCTTGTTTAAAGTTCGGAGTAATTTATTGCCCATTAAATGGCGTCATTATTCTGCAAAGGTTTTTTTTTTTTTAAATACATTTTACAAAACAGGTCTGAACTTGTTATAACAGTTTCTGGTACAGAAAGAGTGAGTCGGTTTTTTTTTTTTTTTTTTACAAACGAGCAGGACAAAAACAACAATATGGCACTTTTTTGTGCTATATGGCAAGGCATATTTAAAACAAGGAATCTGCAATATTTTTGATAAATCGTGGCAGTTTTCTTAATTATTCCAGAGACTTAAAATATTGTGTGAAGTAGTTCACAAAGAAAGGCAAAACTGGAGTAGTATTCTTTCAATAATTACAAGGTCAAAAATATCCGAAATAATCTGTAAAGGTAAAACAAGCCAGAGAAGAGAAAATCTCGAGTGTTCGGCGGATGGGTTTTTAAATCTCGCGAGATTTTAAATCAAAGAGGAGCCCACCCGGTCTCATCACCGGTAGACGGACAGATGGAGAGCTGGAACACCGAGTGAACCGACTGAACGGAACCATGGATAACAAACGCAGGGTGAGATAAAAACTCATTTCATCACGTTTGTTAGTTTTCGTTATTTTTTTAACCTCCAGACGGACGAGTTGTCTAACGAACGTTACTGTTATGTGATGCTCCCGGTGCAAAGGGGGCACGAACGGAACACAACTGGGCTTTGTGTGGCCCCTCGGGGACGCATCATCTTGATACGGAGGATCAAAGGTGGGTGAAAGCAGATGGACTCGCCTTTCATGGCGTCGTCTGCACTAGAGAGAAAACCGACACCGACCACTCGGATGAGGGACGGTCGGTGAAATGGGAGAAGTCCGTTTCCGCGGAAAGGTCAGGGTGATGAATTACTTCAGAGATAAACTAAACCTGTGATCTAGAAGCCTGAGAAAAAGCTACAAAAGAATACACGTGTTGAACTTATTTATAGCTAAAGTTCACGCGCTTATGTTTTTCTTGTGCGCGTGTCTGCGCTCGCGAGCGTTTGTGCTTAACGCGTGGCAGTAGGAAAAAAAGTGAGTTAAGGATTTACATTTCCACCAAACAGACTCTTGTAAGCCAGGAGTTTGGCTTTCCACGCTGAAAAAAATAGAAAAATAATAATTTTGTCAGTGAAATCACGTTCTTCCCTGGCTCGGCTGGATCTTATCCCGTTATTTTTTAGACGTCATTTCCCCCCGGCCGACAGCAGATGTTATGTGGGACAGACAACAGAGGGGTGTGAATCCTCCCTGGTGCCCTGGTCCGGAGCCTCCATCCCCCCTCCACCTCCCTGCTTGTTCACATCTCCGTGACAGCTGAGCGCCCCGGCCGGAGCCTGCGGGGTTCCCACGGTCCCCCTCAAAGCAGCCAAGCACATCGTGCGGTTATTATGCTGCTTCAGAACATTAATAATGATCACCGTTTTGACCCAGATGATAACTTCTCATAACCATATGCAATGATGGCAAATATGTTTATTAAAAATAAATAACAGTTAAAGATTGACTTGGCCTATCAGAGCTACATAAATACAATGCACCAGTTTAATCTCAGTAAATCCACTTGATTGTGATGAAATATTTTAAGCTGAAATGACTAAACTGATGCTCATCCCCTAAACTTATTGTAGAGCAAAACTCTACAGTAATTACTCAGCTGAATAAATGTCAGAGGAAATTCTGGTTTTCCTTCAAATTGCCCAAAACATATCCTGCAGAAAATATTTATACTGCCAAACATTCCTCAAACACACAGCTAACAAAGCAAGATGCTACCTAAAGTAAATGACCTAACAGAATTTAATTTAAGTAGGAACATATGTGCTTTGAATCACTTAGGTGAGGAGATTTCAGCATGGGAAAATAACTGAATAAACAATCATAAAGATTCTGTTTTAGCATCAAATCAAGTAATCTTTATTTCAGACTTAGTTCAGTTCACAAGAAGTATAAAGACACTACAGATAAAATAAAATAAGCACAATGTGACATGTTAAAGCATGAGAGACAGAATAGTCTTGAGAACAAAAACAAAAAGGTGTGTGTGTGTGTGTGTGTGTGTGTGTGTGTGTGTGTGTGTGTGTGTGTGTGTGTGTGTGTGTGTGTGTGTGTGTTTGTGTGTGTGTGTGTGTGTGTGTGTGTGTGTGTGTGTGTGTGTGTGTGTGTGTGTGTGTGTGTGTGTTAATAAACAGCAGCAAAACTGCAATGATCACAAATTCATGTTATGAGAACATTTTTGAAATTTGGGGACTTTTCCCTCTCTTGTAGTTTTCTGATAATCTCTGTTAGAACTTCCTTGGAGAATCCCAAAACAGTTTAGGACCAAACACTTTCATTTGAAAATGAATTATAGCCCACATGGATTGAAATTTATTATTAGTTGTGTTTCAATCTGCATTCAGACCGCATCTTTACTTCTGCTGTTCTTAGATCGTTCAGCGGGTTTTGGTACGGTTGACCATCGTGTTCTGTTGGATTTACTTGAGTCCTGGCTTGGTCTTTGGCACTACTCTTGACTGGTTCCGCTCCTACCTGGCAGATAGATCTTGCTGCAGACTGTAGAGAACACTGCAGCTAGGTTCCTGACTAACACAAATAGGCACAGTCATATCACTCTCCTTCTAGCGTGTCTCTATTGGCTTCCCGTAGGTTTTAGAGTGGGGTTTTAGGTACTGCTTTTTGTTTAAAGAGACTATGTGTAGTTTTTACCATTAATTCCTGGAAATATCCATCAAAATGTTGTTGAAAAATATTGGGGGCTTCGTATCGCATAACCACAAAAATCAGGTCTAAAATACATGGGAGCAGGTCTAAGTCTCTGGGTGATGCCATATTAGATGCCATGTTTCCTTCTATGGCAGCCCATGAGGACAAAATACATTTACTGATTTGTAACAAATGGTTAGAAAACTTGTCATTCTTAAATGTTGTTGTTTACACATTTACCTCTTTACTTGTTGCCATTGATGAAAGAGAGTCTGATGTGCTCATCATTTAGCTTAAGTTTGCACTCCCCAGGGCGTTTTGACCCTAATGGGCATCCGTTGATGTGGTCTTACTCCAACACAAAAATACTTCATGCTTGCAATAATTTAGGTATCTACTGCCCCCTATTGCCAGGAAAAATACACACTGTCGCTTTAAGGCTTTGACTGGTCTTGCACCCTCCTTTTTGTCGAATCTGCTCACTCATTGTGTACCCGGACACTCACTGAGGTTGGCTGATCTTTTGTTACTGTGCATACCAAACATGAATTATAAAGCATGGGTGGGTGGGTGGGGGTGGGGGGTGGGGGCTGTGCTCTGGAAGGTACTTCCTCTCTCAGTTAGACAGGCATTGTCCTTTGCAATTTTTAAATCACAAATCGACTCACTTTTATGACTTGGTGTTTGGCCAGTGACTCTGTTATGTTGACTTTTTCTATCTGTTTTGTGATGTTCTTTTATTATTTTTTATGAAGATGTCATGTTCAGCACTTTGGTTGGCTCTCATGCCATTTTTATACATGCTGTAGAAATAACATGTTATTGTATGGTCTGAAAGTGGATTGGAATGCAGCTGATCATGCACATTTTCACCCAATTCAATTTGAAAAATGCAAAAATGGATATGTAAAATTACAATAAATACCCCATTATGTCGGGCTGATCAGACTGGATGAAGGAGACGAACAAGGTGAGACGTTTAACAGTTTTATTATTTCTCCGGTCGTATCTCTGTGAGGAAGAAACGATGACTGAGATGAGAAGCCGGTACCGGCGTCTTCCATATATAGCCTTGCTTGGCTGTGACGTGGAGGGAATCCCCGCGAGGAGCACGCTGGGAGCTCCCCATGAGGAGCATGTCGGGAGTTGTGGTCCGAAAGTCAGCCGGGAGATACCCGAGTCCTGACAGGACCCCCCGGTCCAGGGACGGCTCCAGAAGTCCCAGCGCGACCCCGGCGGACCCAGAAGTCGGAGATCAGGGAAGGGTCCAGGATGGACCGAGCCGGCTCCCAGGAGCGTTCCTCGGGGCCATAGTCCTTCCAGTCCACTAGGTACTGCCAGCCCCGACCCCTGCGGCGAGCGTCCAGGATGCGCCGGACGGTGTAGATAGGCTCACCGTCGAGGAAGCGGGCAGGAGGCGGCGCCGGAGCCGGAGGCGGGAGAAGGGAGGACTCCACGAAGGGCTTGAGCCGGGAGGTATGGAAGGTGGGATGGATGCGGAGAGTAGCCGGCAGTCGCAACCGGTACGTGACCGGGTTGATGACCCTTTGGATGGGGTATGGGCCGAGGAACCGAGGAGCGAGTTTCTTGGCCCCGGCACGGACCCGAAGGTCAGCCGTGGACACCCAGACCTTGTCCCCAGGAGCATAGGAGGGACCAGGACGGTGTCGACGGAGATGCTGGCGAGCATAGCTGGTGTTAGCTCTGGTTATGGAGGCTCGTGCTTTGATCCAGGCGCTCTTGCAGCGTCTCACCATGGCTTCCGCTGCTGGAACGGCGACCTCGGGTTCTTGGTGGGCAAAGACCGGGGGCTGGAAGCCATAGCAGACCTCGAAAGGGGACAGCCGAGTGGCAGAGGAGGTGTGAAGATTGTGGGACAGCTCCGCCCAGAGGAGGTATTTAGGCCACTGTGAGGGTTGAGCCGAGACAAAACAACGAAGGTACCGACCCAGCTGTTGGTTAGCCCGCTCCGTCTGGCCATTGGTCTGCGGGTGGTAGCCTGAGGATAGACTGACCGATGCTCCCATCAGCCGACAGAAAGCTTTCCAGAACCGGGCCGTGAACTGGGGCCCTCGATCCGAGACCACGTCGACTGGGAACCCGTGGAGGCGCACCACGTTCTCCAGGAACAGTTCCGCTGTGCGTTGGGCTGAGGGGAGACCCGGAAGGGCGATGAAATGGACAGACTTGGAAAAGCGGTCCGTAACCGTCATGACAGTGTTGAGGTTATTGACCGACGGGAGACCTGTGACGAAGTCCAGCCCCACGTGGGACCAGGGGCGGCTGGGCACCGGAAGAGGTCGGAGGGCACCAGCCGAGGCCTGGTTGGGGTTCTTGGAGCGGGCACAGACGTCACAGGCGCTGGTGTATTCTTTCACATCCCTCGCCATGCCTGGCCACCAGAGGGCTCGCTGGAGGAATTTAAGAGTTCTGGAGAAACCAGCGTGGCCAGACAGGCGTGATGAGTGGGCCCAGGACAACGCCTCGCTGCGACAGGCCGTGGGGACATAGAGGCGACCCGCGGGGGTCTCAGGAGGCGCGGGGTCGTCCCGGAGGGCGTTCTGGATAGCTTCCTCCAACGGCCACCTCAGTTGGCCCAGGAAACGGTGTTCGGGGAGGATTGGCGCTGGCTCGGACGAGGGCGAGGAGTGGGTGAATTGGCGGGAGAGGGCGTCCGCCTTCTGGTTCTTGGCTCCCGGGCGGTAGGCGAGATGGAAGTCGTAGGGTTCAAAGAAGAGGGCCCAGCGAGCCTGGCGAGGATTAAGCTGCTTGGCAGATTTTATGTGGGTCAGGTTCTGATGGTCAGTCCAGATCGTGAAAGGCTGAGTGGTGCCCAGAAGCCACTGCCTCCATTCCTCCAATGCCCATTTTATGGCCAGTAACTCACGGTCGCCCACACCGTACTTCTGCTGGGTGGTGGAAAACTTCCTGGAGAAGTAGGCGCAGGGATGGAGCCTGTCGTCGGGCCCGCCTTGAGACAGGATGGCGCCGGCGCCGACGTCAGAGGCGTCGACCTCGACCACAAAGGGGACTGCAGGATCTGGATGGCGGAGGATCGGGGCCGAGGTAAAGCGGGTGACCAGGTGGTGGAAGGCCCGAATGGCGTCGGGAGTTATATGAAACGGCTGGCCAGGGGAGCCTGGTCGAGTGAGAGAGGTGAGAGGGGCTACGAGGGTGCTATAGTTCTTTATAAAACGGCGGTAAAAGTTGCAGAAACCCAGAAAACTCTGCAGTTGTTTCAGGCTGGTTGGCAAGGGCCAGTCCTTCACCGCCTGGATTTTCTGAGGGTCCATGGTTATCCCTTCGTCCGAGATCCTGTAACCCAGGAAGGATATGGACTGCTGATGGAAGGAGCATTTCTCGGGTTTACAGTACAGGTTGTGGTCCAGGAGCCGGGTCAGGACGGCGCGAACATGATGGATGTGTTCGGCCTCGGATTTGGAGTAGATCAGTATATCGTCCAGATAGGCGAACACCCACCGTCCCAGCATGTCGCGGAGGACATCATTAATGAGACGTTGGAAGACAGCAGGGCTATTGCATAGTCCGAAGGGCATAACCAGGTACTCCCAGTGGCCGGTGGGTGTTATGAAAGCGGTCTTCCACTCATCCCCGGCCTTTATACGGACCAGATTGTAGGCGCTCCGGAGATCCAGTTTCATAAAGATCCGTGCCTGGGAGATGGCATCCAGAGCGGTAGTGAGGAGCGGCAGAGGATGGCGGTCCTTGACCGTGATCTTGTTCAGACCCCGATAGTCTATGCAGGGGCGAAGATCGCCTTCCTTTTTCCTCACGAAGAAGAAGCCAGCGGCACCCGGAGAGGAGGAGGGTCGAATGAACCCCTGCTGGAGGGCCTGGGCGATATATTCTTCCATCGCTTTGGTCTCGGGAGGCGCGAGAGAGAAAAGGCGCCCGCGGGGAGGACTGGTTCCGGGTAGCAGCTTGATCTCCATATCATATGGCCGGTGAGGTGGCAGGGAGGTGGCGCGCCGCTTGTCGAACACCGCGGCCAGGTCCCGATAGGGCAGCGGCAGGTGGGGCGGTGTGGAGCTGGGGCCCCCGTCCGGAAGACCCGCCGAGGATGGAGGAGGAGCGAGGTGGGTCTGGCACGAGGTCCCCCAGCCCAGCAGGCGGTTCTGGGACCAGGAAATATGAGGGTCGTGGAGACGGAGCCAGGGGAACCCCAGGATTAGGGGAGAAGAGGGAGCAGAAATGATCAGGAAATGGAGGGTCTCCTGGTGGCCTTGGGTGATCATACGGAGTGGCTGGGTTCGGTCTCGGACTGGGTAGGGTTGGAGAGGCCTACCGTCCACCGAGGTCACTGGTATAACCCTCTCCAGGGGTTGTAGGGGGATCCGTAGGCGTTTTGCCAGATCCAGGTCCATGAAATTGTCCGCGGCCCCCGAGTCCACCAATGCGTTTACGTGGAGTGAGGCCTCACCATGGAGGAGGGTGACAGGAATAAGGAGACGGTTAGTAGCGACAGGGGTAGAAGAAGACCCAGACTGAGCGACCCCAATACTCAGTGGGGCCCCCCGTTTCCCGATCGTAGCGGGCAGTCCAGGCGTCGGTGGTCGGGAGAGCCACAGTAGGCACAGAGGCCCTCGCGCCACCGTCGTTGTCTCTCCTCGGGGGGAAGGTGGCCGAGCTGCATGGGCTCCTCCGTCAGCATGGGTACAGGAGCTGGCGTGGGTGAACGAGGGCGAGGCACCGGCATCCTGGGGGGACGCGTGGATAACTTGGGTCGAACCAGAACCCGCTGGTCGATGCGCAGCGCCAGATCAACCACCTCATCCAGGGTCTGAGGCAGCTCCCTTCCCGCCAACTCATCACGGATGTAGGGTGCCAGCCCCTCCAGGAAGGCGGCCCGCAGAGCGCAGTCATTCCACTGCAGCTTGGCGGAGATGGTGCGGAACTCCGACGCATAAGCGCACACCGAGCGTTCCCGCTGGCGGAGTTTGAGAAGGCGTGTCTCTGCTCCCACTTCGCTGCTGGGGGGAACAAAGGTCTTCCGGAGAGCGGACACAAACGCAGCATAGTCGTTGCAGGCAGGGGATTTGGAATTGTAAAGCGCAGCAGCCCACTCCGCGGCGCGTCCGGAGAGCAGGGAGGTGAGATGCGCCACTCGGGAGCGCGCAGATGGGTAGCGTCCAGGTTGGCACTCGAACTGCATGTCCAGCGTGGCGAGCAGACCATCAGGGCTCCCCGTCTCTCCGTTCCACCTCTCCGGCAGGCTGAAGTGGGGCTCCTCCCTAGGAGCAGAGCGGGTTGGATGCTGGAGTGCCGCGATCTGTTGCTGCTGATCGTTTGCTTGTTGTTGGAGAGCCGTGAGAGCCGTGGATAGACGCAGGGTGTGGTCGGACAAGGAGTTCACCTTGGTGTTAAGCTGATCTACCATGGAACGCAGCTGCACGTTCTCGTGGCGGAGACGATCGATCTCCGTCGGATCTACTTGGATCTCAGTCATCCTGTCGGGCTGATCAGACTGGATGAAGGAGACGAACAAGGTGAGACGTTTAACAGTTTTATTATTTCTCCGGTCGTATCTCTGTGAGGAAGAAACGATGACTGAGATGAGAAGCCGGTACCGGCGTCTTCCATATATAGCCTTGCTTGGCTGTGACGTGGAGGGAATCCCCGCGAGGAGCACGCTGGGAGCTCCCCATGAGGAGCATGTCGGGAGTTGTGGTCCGAAAGTCAGCCGGGAGATACCTGAGTCCTGACACATTACAATATCAGTAAAACAGAATTGAACCAAAATCACTTTCTTATTTCGGATCCAAAGTTCTTTCTTCGTTGAACTCCAAATATGTCATTAAAATCACTAAAGCTTATTTTTATTATTTATTTCAGAATAAATCCAGCCCTTATCTATTTTTACACTTTTACAGCAGTGTAACATGTATGATTTAACTCCTTCAAAAAAAAACTTCCTGTTCAATTTCCTCTTTCTTTAAGCTGCAGCTACCAAACAGGAAGTGTCATCTTGTGACAGGTTGTCGCTCTGAAGCAGAGATAATCACTTCCTTTTTTCTTTCTCCACATCAGTCAATATACAAAGCGGAGTAAGCATGGGAGCATGGCGTGGACTACGAGTGGCTTTCATCCTGGGATCTTTGTTTATGATCCTGCTGATCATCGTCTACTGGGATGGCGTTGGGGGCTTCAACCTCTACTTGTTTCCGGACATGAAACACAACTCACTTCAGTCTGGTTGCAGCAGACGGATGACTATGTCCACCGTGTCCACCGTTCAATCACACGCCAGTTCTCCGATTACAGCTCATACCGCCACCAGTTCCTCACCTATAGAAGCAGCTCAGATACTAACAGATGAGGAGCAAATGAAGGAGGAATCAGAGGATGAGAGGATTCGCTTTCCTGCTGAGGACATGGAGCAGGAGGCCAGGAAGCAAAGGATCATGGATGTGTGTTCAGGTAAAGACGTGATGGATTTTCCTGGAAGGACTCGAGCACTTGATCAGATCCCCATCAGGGAACTGGATCACCTGATTGTGGATGATGCTCATCAGATAATCTACTGCTATGTTCCTAAGGTACAGATTATTATACATGTGTACCAATATGTTACGTTTACCTTGTGTCGTCCATTATGTATTTAAATAAAAAAACCAGCATGCTCCTGAAAAAAATACCTTTTTGTTTCTTCATCTCTGCTCTGAGATCAGGTAGCGTGCACCAACTGGAAGCGAGTCCTGGTGGTGCTGTCTCAGTCTCTGATCTCCCCCTCCACAGGAAAACCCTACACCGACCCTGAGGCCGTCCCTCCTGACCTCGTGCACAACTCTTCCCTCCACCTCACCTTCGCCAAGTATGAAGCACACACAGATCTTTAATGTTAGCTGTTACATTATTTTATATGAAAGTTTTAACACTGCAGCCTGAAGACAAATTATTCCACCTCCTAGAAAGGTTTAACGAACCCCATAAAGCCCATAAAGTTTATTACTCGTCTTCAGAGGGGCAGAGTGCAGTTTGGCTTTTGGAGCTTAGAAATTAAATAAAAAACTGTCATGTTCTGCGTCCTGCGTCCCCCTCATGTGACTCCTTGTGTTCTCCAGCCCACTCCAGGTTTTCTCCTTAGGTTTCTGTGCCCCTTTAGGTCTCCAGCTCCCTCCAGGTTTCCCTCAGGTTCCCCCTTAGTGATTTCAGATTTAGTTATCCCATCCCTGTTAGTGTTTTTCTTCTGGTGTCTAGTTTTCAGGTTTAGGAGTTCACTTATCTTTAGTTCTCTGTAGATTAATTTTACATAGTCAGTTTTCCCCACTTAGTTAATTAGTCTCACCTGATCCCTTCTGATCTCACTCCCCACACACCTGTCACCTGTTTCCCTCATTGTTTCCCTCTGTGTATATAACCCTGTCTGCGTCTCAATGTGTTGCCGGTCCATTGTTTGTGTCAGCGTTGTCTCGTTTCCCTCTCCTGGTCTCGTTGTTTCTAGGTATTTGGATTTATCTAGGTTTTGCTCTTTAAAGGAGCTCTTCGTCTCTTCGTCTCTAGGTTTACGCATTAGGATTTTTGGATTTATGGACAATTATTCCTAAAGAAAAGGTTTTACGTTTTCTACTACTCCTGCCTTGTGTCATCCTGGTTCTGCATCTTGGGTCCTAACCTCCTCCTGGCTTACATTGTGACAAAAACTTTAGTTGATGAAAAGAGAAGTTACTTAAAAGTAAAAAAAAAAAAAAAGAAAAGTCAAAGTTTTAATGATTTAAAAATTATTTTAAAAAAGAACACTATAAATTATGGCAGCATCTCTTTTATAGGAAGCTTTTTAAATCCGCTCCTTTCTTCTTTGGTCCTCTTCTACTGAGTTTCTCCGTCCCTTTGTCAGCTGATTGTTGAAAAATGGCACAATCTGCAAACGTATTTTACTGTAATTTTGTCAGATTTGTTAATTAAAGCCAGAAGTACAAACAAAGCTTTTTAGGTTTCACTGGAGAAGTGGAAACATTAGAGATGTGAAATTGGGTGGAAATTGTGTTGGTGCCTTTTTTTATACCCAAAAACGTGAGGAAAAAAATCATAAATTAAAACAACGAAAACTACAAAAAACATTTATATACAAAATGGATTTGTTGAGAAAAAGTAAAGCTATAAAGGATGTAAATGAAAACACGTACATTTTACAGAATGTTATAAAATTAGTGGAAATCTAATAAATTCATAAATAATTGCTTGTTTTTAAACGATTTTAATGAAAAATTAGAAGAAACAACTCTTTGACAAGTTTTGTGGGGTTTTTTTGCCCAAAAGGAATCAAAGTTAAATTTTAATATAAAATAGGTTTCTCATCATCATTATTTTAAACATATTTTAAATATGTTCTTTTATCTGGAAGGTCGTACATAAATATAATGAGCGGCTGAAGCTGCATCTAAGTAGGAAAGATGTTCAGCACAGCTTCTGACTAATGAAGGTTTGTTTTTGGAGGAAAAATCCTGCATCCTTTGCGACATCGTTCTGTTTCTGTCTTTATTGTTTGGTGCCTTAATTGTTTCAAATAACTGCATAGTTTTCCTCTTCAGAAGGAACGCCTCCCTTGTAGCTTGTTAACACAGCTATTTATTGAGTAGAGACTCGGATGTGGAAACGCTGGGCCGGGCCCGGTGCAGCACCACAGACGGACCCTTCTCCTCCCCTCAGGAGCTGAAAGCGTTCTTTCAACACCTTCATCTTTAACTCTTTGACATTCTGGCCGAGCACTTTTTAGTCCCTGAATCAAAGCAGAAAAAATGTAAGGGTGTTGAAATTAAAAGTTTTTAATATTATTGCCCTAAAAGAAAAAAAAGTGTGCAAGGAAGAGTTGTTTCATTGTTTGTCCTTATTCTTGGATACCACGAGTGTTTCATCAAACTAAATAGCTTCAACCAAAAAGAAGCAATGGCAACTGATGAGTTTTCATCATTTATTTCTTCTTTACAGATTTTGGCGCCATTATGGTTCACTTTCCCGCCACCTGATGGCGCTCAAGCTCCAGCGTTACACCAAGTTTCTGTTCGTACGAGATCCATTTGTGCGCCTCATCTCTGCCTTCAGGAACAAGTTTGAAAGGTTTTTATTGGCTTCACAGTAATTAAGACCAAATATTGTTTATCCAATTGAGTCCTAGTGTGTGTGTGTGTGTGTGTGTGTGTGTGTGTGTGTGTGTGTGTGTGTGTGTGTGTGTGTGTGTGTGTGTGTGTGTGTGTGTGTGTGTGTTAAGGCCTAACGAAGACTTCTACCGACAGTTTGGTTCAGTCATGCTGCGTCGTTATGGTAACGTGTCTGAGGACTTGGCAGAGACAGCTGCTGAGGCCTTTGCAGCGGGAATCAAACCGACATTTCATCAGTTTATCTCCTATCTTCTTGATCCAGAGACGGAGAGGAAAAGCATCTTCAATGAACACTGGAGACAGGTATTTATATAGATATTTATTGGTTTTGTTTGTTTTAGATTTATAAATGGTCTGATTTCATCAAAAAACATTACATAGGCTTTTATTTAAAAATTTGCAAAAGACAAATTAAAACTAAGACTTGTGGAGCATAACATGTAGCAAACAAATAAAAAACGGGAAGATATGAAAATAAAAAAATCTGTGCAAATGTTTCTTTATTTTTCTTCACAGAGAGCAAAAGGATTAGAGATGCTTGCAGCAAGCTGAAGAGGCTTTAAGAAAAGCCATATCTACTATTAAATCACAGATAAAGAAACTTGAATGCATTTGAAGCTAAGCAAATTTGAATGTGAAGAGACGCCATCATTACGTTTTCAAACTTCACAGTTTAGACCAGGCGAGACAGGAAGTCAAACACGAAAGCAGTGTAAAACATCAAGAAACTTTCAAAATAAAAGCCACAAGCGGGTAAACGTAGGTCATTTCCTGGGAAACGCCCGCAGCTAATGTAAACAGAAGATAAAAGAAACCACAGACCATTTTGGATACACGCAGTCGTCTTTCTCCTTGCTTGTTTTTATGTTTGGACTTCTGGTGTTGTAATTTTACGACTTTGCAGCAGAATTGCTCCCGGTTGGAAAGGAGCTTGCGGGTAAACCACCTCTATTCCATTGCATACCGCTTTCACATCACACTGTGGAAAGCCGGGGTGACTTTCAGTGGATTAGATTTACAAACATCGTTATATGAAGCTTCAACAGCCAATCTACAATTACAAACCCATTTATGAATCATGCTTTTGCCTCATGTAACAATAACAGGTGAAACTGGAAAAAATGGAATATCGTTTAAAGTCCATTTCAGTAATTCTGCGTAGACTGAGAGACCATCTAAAGGCTCAGGAACCCTTTGCAGATGTTCTGGATTCTTTAGCTGATTAGAGTGTGACTCTGAGAGTGAATATTGAACCGTTTCACAATATTCAAATTGTGCGAGGTTTTGAATTTGGAGTTTTCATAAGCTGTAAGCCATAATCATCACAAATATGACAAATAAAGACTTGAAATATCTGGCTTTGCATGGAATGAGTCTGTCTCATATATTAGTTTAATCCATCGGTTTCATCTTTTAAGTTCAATTGCTGACATAAATGAACTTTTCCACCACTAAAGTTACACCTCGGTGGAGATTATGCTAATAGTACTTGTATTTTTTCCTTTTTTCACCTGACTTTTCCCAACCGGGTCACAACTCCATCTTTGTAAGCAACTGGACTATGAATCTCAGAGGGTTTTTGGGAGTGTTGCATCATTATTTACATTTAGTCCTTAAATGCTTTGTTTTCTTCTCAGTGGCAAAAATACTCTAATGTTAATTTCCAAGAGGAAAACAAACACGTACACTCAAACAGCTACATTATAAATGCATATCACTGTTCATCTTTAATTTTCAAGTTAATAGTTGTTATTCATTGACTTCTATTCACCTACCTTTATTGTTTTGTACCTTTGTGCGTTAGATACGATTTAATTGGCACGGTTGATTAACTATCACATTAAAATGCAAATAACATGTTGTAGCAACAGAATGATTGAGCCTCACACAGTGATGCTCTGGTTTGTGCAGCAAAAATAAATAGACATCCGTGCAAATCCTGCAATGACGCAAAAGCATTTACAATGTGAGATTTAAGATGGGGGTCCGGTTTTCTTGTTTACACAGATAAATACGTGTGCATAGGCTGGTAATGATCAAATGTCAAGTCGTTGATCTGCTTTCTGTGTTGAAGGTGTATCGTTTGTGCCATCCGTGTCAGGTGAAGTACGACTTCATTGGACGACTAGAAACTCTGGAAACTGATTCGAAGCATCTTCTGAAGCTACTGAAGGTTGATCAATTTCTACGTTTCCCGTCAGGAGCCCGAAACCGCACAGAAACCAGCTGGGAAAGGGACTGGTTTGCACAGATACCCCTGACTAAGAGGAGAGAATTGTATGATCTGTATAAACCAGACTTTGAGCTGTTTGGATACCCCAGACCTGACGGCGTGCTCCACCGGTAGTAAAAAGACTCAGGACATTGCCTGTCTGCAGGTCGATGCCTTCTTAACACCAGTCTAGGATGCTATTGGTGTCTTTTTATACCAAACCTCAAATGAAAAAGTGCCTGCAAGTATTAGTTTTTGTGATCATGTAATTGTAGAATGCATCTGGCAACAATTTTTGTTGTCAGTATGTTTTCCTCATGTGCAAGCACTTTGAGTCGTGCTTGTGAATTGTGCTGCAATAAGCTCTGAGGTTAATTGTAGGAGGGATCTGATATAAAGAGAATCATGGTGGAGAAAAGCCAATTAGCTGCCTTTTTGTAATTTTATAGTAGATTATTAAAAAAAACAGAAATAACACAAACAAAACCACACATAAATATTGATATTTTTTTTTTCATTTTTTACTTGATCTAAATTACTCACGTTGGGGGCTACTTTGCTTTGCACAGATTAAAAGAATGACAGATATCTTAAACCAAAGATGTCCCAGAGTACAAAACCACATGTACCTTGTTTTTGTTGAATATAGTCTTCTTGGGGTGCCTAATGTAGCGTACCATCAAGTCTGCGTCTTCCCTGACCTGCTTCCTTATGTAAACCATTAATGTTGTAGTGGTCACGGAGAAACGGTTCATTCTGAGAAAAACTGGTTTAACACGTCATGAGCTTAGACAAACATCTGGATGTCCCAACCATCTTCAACATCAGCACAATACTAACGTTGGTCATGGCAATGCTAACTGCAGAACAATGGTCACCTATGCTACTGCTAATGTGGGAAAACAACAAAGAAGAATGTTGTAGCAATGCTCACATTCCAGGGCTTTATTATGAGGTTGTGTTTAGGCATTTATCAGAGCTCCTGGGCCATTGTGAGCACCAACAATGTTACTTATGCTACAGTATATAGAGGCTCAAAGAACAGTTCTCAAAAGTAAAAAATAAAATAACCTTTTTCAGGACGGATTTTATCAAAATGCAGAGGAAAATGTTGTAAAAGAAGCAACAAGCACATTTACACAATTATATTTGAGTACTCTACTGCAGAAGTTACGAGCAAAAGTGATTTAAAATACTTATAGAAAGGAGGTGATCTAGTAGATTCACATTTTATTCAAATAAATCGATAAAAACAGACACAACCTTGACTTGTAAAGTTGATGATCACTAAGTAATGGGAGTCCTGATTATGGAAAAAGTTAAATCTGTTTTTAAGAACTGATATGCTGTTTTAAAAATGGTCAAAATAAACTTTTTCCAAGTAGTATATGGACGGGTCCTCTGGATTGTGAAATATTAATAAAAACAATTAATCCCTTCACGTTTTTCTGTTGCACAAAAATCATTCTGGTTGCGTCGTCACTTGTCCTGTTGTCTCTTTCCACGTGTTCCAGCTGTTTCCATTGTTCCGCCCCTTTTGTTCTCTTTCTTACTTCTCATTGGTTAGTGTACCTGTCACCCAAGCGACCCTCCCACTTCACTGCTTGGCAGTGTACTCCTGACGTCACGGGTTCCGTCCCAACCACGGAAACATGGAACAGCAACATGACAGTTTGTCATAATAGATTTAAAGCGGCACTCTTGGGTTTATTTTGTAACACTTCACGAGCGGAGCTTGCTGCGGTCAAGCGGTGACAATGCGGCGGTCAGCGACGTAGACGCTGGAAATGAGGAGAGTTCGGCCTCTGTTCTACTAGTCCACCTGTTTGTGTCGGAGCACAACACACAGAGGAGCGAGTGTTTAGGTGGTCATGGGGTCTCCAGCACGCCTCCTACTTTCTCTTCTCCTGTTCTTCTTGGAAGAAACACATTTGCAGGTAAACGTCGAAGCGGTTGCGTGGCTGTTACTGTTGTCAGTTGAGGTTATGTTCTGCTATTTTGTTGCGTATCTGGTATCTGCGTCTATTTCAGGCTCCGTAAGTTGCCAGAGTATGATGGTGGCGGTTTACAGCGCGTGAGCCTAGCTAGTGAACTAGACCAAATTCTTGCTTTGCAAAGTTTAAATAATACATTTATTTAGTCTGGCTTGCCAGGCTAGCGTGAGACAGCTCATTAGCCTCCCCAGAACTGCTAAGACGAGGTTTTACTGTGCGCCCGCGCGCGGACACGAGACTGTTGTGGTACGCAAAGCCGCAGTAACATGTGATCAAATCATAGAATAACAACCATTTTGGGTAAATCTAGAGAATACATTTATTTTCAGTATATTAATATATTTTGCACCGTCAGTTATTTTGTTCAGGATGTGTTGTGGTTTACTCTCAGCATTATTGTACATAATTTTAGCTGAATTAAAAAAAAAGTTCCGGTTTTAGATATAATTGATTGCTGTGGAAGTTGAAGGGTCTATAATGTAGGCTTCCATAAAATATCATTTGCACAAGGTAAGATGTTAGTAACAAAGTAATAATCTTTTTATGAGTTTTAACAGAAAGCACATCACGAACTTTCTGTGTACAAAAGTCTGGACTACTGTTGATAACCCTTTACAATTAAAGTCCCTTTATTAATGTTACTTAGCCCATTATTAAGCATCAATGAACGATTACATTAAGTTGCATTAAGTACTTAAGTAAAATAAATATTAACAACTGCTTAACCATATTATTTTATGCATTACTAAGCAGACCCTTCCCCCCAGCCCTTTGTCCTAACCTTAAAGACACTTAATAGTTAACAATAACAGGTAACGTTAATAAAGGAACACTTTATTATTACTTACTATTGCACTAAGTAACATTAATAAAGGGACCCCTGTTGTAAAGTGTTACCCTATTGTTGATAACTGAAATAAAGTCTTAAACAAGAAATGAAGAATAGCTTTCTTGATGTCTGACATTTTCATTTATAAAACTACATTATGAGTATTTACATATAAATGGTATTGCCGTAAACACCTTTGTCATTTACCAACTGTTGACCCCCGACTGGGTAAATATGAGATCATCGCACCTCATTTCGTCCAGCTGAAATTTATTGTGACCCTAAAAAGCTTATGTTGTAATTATTAACATGAATCTAACCTCATCCTAAACCAAATATTTAATCGAAACACTTTATAAACAAATAATATCCCCATAAGAAGACCCGCACATGTCTCGGCACTGGGTGTGGTTTAAGGAGTGCAATGAAAATAAGGATGTCCTGCTAAATCAGGAACACATGACAGTTACCAGAAGCCTCGACACACCCATTTGTGTAAACTCTGTTACACTAGAATCAAGTCCAATGTTAGGATTCATGAAGCTGCAGCCCTCCCAGGTGTACGATCTCACCTGTCTTTTCCTCTCAGGTTAATGGAGTCAAGTCCGTCACCCTCCCAGAATCCCTTCTGTTCATCTCCACGCTGGATGGAAGTCTGCATGCCGTCTCCAAACAGACCGGAGACATCAAGTGGACCTTACGAGAAGGTTCTTGCACACGCAGTCATTGTTTTATTTTTATTTTTTATTTTTAAAATATTTCATAGCATTTTTATTTTCTTCCAGACCCCATCATTCAAGTGCCTGTTTACCTCACAGAGTGAGTGCCACACTCCCTCTTGGAAACGCGTTGTAAACTAACAGATGAATCCTGCAGGTTTTAAACAGTTTTAGTCTTGTTTACTGTTGAAGGTTTTAACTTGAATTATTTTATTTTTCTCTATTTATTTAAATATGTTCTTGTATGAATGTGTTATCCTGCACTAATTGAAACCTGATCATATCTGTATTTAAGGCTCTGTTTATGCCTGTCATTAAAATGCATCATGTGATATCCCAGCTCTCACAGCGTTAGCCCACAGCTGGCATCTTTATGATCTGATTTCACTTTCTTGCTTTGTATGCAAAAATCCAAAGAGCCACATCATTTCGTTTGGCACGATCCAAGCTCTACAGTCCTGCACACGTCCTGATTAGCAAACATACGCCTGCAGCTCTCAAACAATTACAAGATTGTAGTAAACATGTTCCTACCATCAGGGCATTCACATCTCTAATGTTTATTTGATAGCTAAGCAAATCTCCCTTAAAGATATGGTTTGCTGAATAAATATTTTTTAATGATTATTTCTGATTATAATCTTGAGTTTTTCATGCAGGTTGAACATGAAAAAAGTCTCCTACACCTATCTCCTGCATTAGCTTCTGATTAAAACTAGATGGTGAAACTCTAGGATTAGCATCCAGGAAACAGCAGAGAACATCTCTGCTAATAGAAGCTAACCGTTAGCATTAGCAATTCAACCATATGGCTGAAGCTCCTCCAGGCTTGTGCTATTTGTGGAGATAAGACATCAACTTCGCAGAGCAAACAGTGAGTGTTAGTGTTGCGTTGCTGTTATCCAATCTGAGGTGAGATGCCCAAATATCGTTACTAAAACTTCTCCCAGCCGTTAGCATAAATGTAGGTAGAGTGGATAAGTTGCAATGCACATTTCCACCTCTAGATGGTGGTGTCTGAGAAAATAAACTCTGGATTTCTGCTTTAACAGGCAGATGGGAGAGTTTTTATTTTTTGTTTAATCTTCAAAAAGCTTAGACCAGGGCATTCAACTCCATTCACCGAGTGCCGGTATGCAGCCTGCTTTAATTCTTGCCCTGCATCAACACAGATGATTCACTGGTTCAGCAGCTCATCAAACTCTGCAGTAGCCTGTTAATCACCTGCTGATTAAAACCAGGTGTGTTGGAGGAGGGAAACAACAAAAACATGCTGGGTACTGGCACTTGGGGAAGGGAGTTGACTGCTCCTGGCGTAGACCAAAAGCAAAAATATAAATATAGTTATTGTTGCTCTTGCAGTAAAATAAAAAACAAGGATCGAACACCTTCCCCCTCAGATCAGGACCTCTCCTTTCTGAATGTGAAAGCATCGACACAAATTGGTTTTTAATCACTCATAGTGACCAAATAAACAGTTTATTCATTAATCATTAGTGGGAATGAACATGAACACAACCTTCAGTGTCTGGCCCTGGGTTTATTGGTGCACTCTTTTTCTTTTAATTTGCTTTAGAATCATTTAGTTTAGTTTTCTTTTGGGAACAACAAATGATGGCAGTGAATAAATGTAATTACACCTTTACTATATAAAGTGTTTTAGCTCTAAAACTGACGTAATCATTCTAAAACGCTTTTCTACACATTTAACTCATTCTGGTCACTGAATGATTTTATGTGTTTCATTCAGGCTGGGTTTCCTCCCAGACCCCAATGATGGCAGTTTGTATGTTCTTGGTGGAAAGCACAAGGAAGGCCTGATGGTGAGAAGACTCACTCGTCGTGTGCACGAGTTGGTCAGAGTTAGCTTTTTTTTTGGATGATTATTTGTTTATCATCTCACTGCCACATTGTTCTGCTGAGTCTGCAGAAACTGCCTTTCACCATCCCAGAGCTGGTTCAGTCCGCTCCATGCAGAAGTTCTGATGGCGTCCTTTATACAGGTCAGTCATAACAGGTGTGTGTTAACACATCTAATTACTGTTTGTAGATAATTGTGTGTGTGTGTGTGTGTGTGTGTGTGCAGGAAAAAAACACGATGCGTGGTTTGTAGTGGATCCTGAAACGGGCGAGAAGCAAACAAGTTTAACCACCTCGTCCTCGGAGTCCATCTGTCCCAACACTCCTTTACTCTACATAGGACGAACAGGTTTGCCACACAGCCTGAGAGTGCACCTGTGTGTGTGTGTGTGTGTGTTGCTGAGAAAAAAAACCCTCAATGTCAAGGTGTGTTTGTGTGTTTTACAGAATATATGCTCACCATGTTTGATACGAAAACACAAGAGCTGCGATGGAACGCCACGTACAACGATTACTCGGCTCATCCTTATGATGAGAAGCAAGACTACAGTACGTTCCTGCACACACACACACACACACACACACACACACACACACACACACACACACACACACACACACACACACACACACACACTCACACACACACACACACACACACACACACATACACACACACACACACACACACACACACACACACACACACACACACACACACACACGCAACTTTGTTTTTCTATCCATATTAGGACTTTGTATTGGCTTCCATTCATTTTAGTAACTGCATTTATGCCTAACCCAAATCCTTACCATAACCATATAACCCTAACCCGTGTATTCACATCTTCTGTGTAAACCTCACCCCTAAGCCTAAAGCATGGAGTTCACCATGTTAGGAGCGGGTTTTGGTCCTAACACGGACCATCGGTCTTCAGAACATTAGTGAAAATGCCATTTTTGGTCCTAATTAGGATAGCTGTACAAGTACTTACACACACACACACACACACACACACACACACACACACACACACACACACACACACACACACAAAGTTAAATACACTTTGTTTGCTCAAACCACTCAACCAGTAAGAGGCGTTATACTGGTTCATTTGTACTTTCTGAAACAAGTCAGGACTTTGCTTGTTTATCTTATTGCTTTACATAAAAACTTTGTAATGTATGACGCAGTAATGATGGGTACATACTCACAGTGGTTCTCATGGACGCTTCTAATCCACTACTGCTCGAGGGCCCCAGGAGCACCTGTTGGTTTTTGTTTTCTCTGTCCTCCAAAGCCAATCAATCTGTTTTATTTGTTGAGACATCCTTAGTCGTGAGGTGTAGCGGTATTTAGTCTACGCAGGTTTTATGCAAAATAACATTTTTTAAACCAAATCGTTAATAACTATACACTTTGCAAGTTTTTTTCACAGAGAAGAACCTCCATTAGACCATTTCCTAAGGCAATGTAAAACGTATTTGAACATCACCTTCTGTATGTGTTTTCCTCCAGAAATGGCCCACCTGGTCTCCAGCGGCGACGGTCTAGTTGTGACAGTTGACAGAGAGACAGGTAGAGGGCGCTGTGTGGCTTTTATGTAAATATTTCCCCTATTTTTCATCTCTGTCCTCCCAGTAAAGTCCTGAGTGTCGTCTTGTTTTGCAGGTGACGTCCTGTGGACTCAGAACTACGGTTCACCTGTCGTAGGGGTTTATCTGTACTACGAGGACTCCCTGAGACATGCCCCTCACATGTCCCTCGCCATGGAAACGCTGCGTTTCCTCACTTTCTCCTCTGCCAAAGATCAAGCTGAAGCACACTCCACCTTAAAGTGGAGCTACCAGTTTGTGAAGGAGCAAGCCAGTGCACAAACACAACTAGTGTAAGGAAGTTCTCACTTACCACTGATGGTGACCATCATCAGAAGGTTGTAGGAGAACCATAAGCTTTCCCTGTACGGTCGAATTTTCAAATAATAAAATAAAATTAACATTTAAAAGGAGAAACTGTCATTAACCTGATCTTTATTGGAATATTTTAAATGTTTTCTAGTATTTTACTGTTCATATGACCAATTACAAATATTCTTCCCTTGTTGGACATGGAGTTTTATTGTTTGGTTTCAGTTATGTGAGATAAAATGTTCTAGCTCTGTATTTTTAACTCCAGATAAGTGTTTGTTGTGTGACTGGGATACAGAATGATCAAAAAAGGAAGCGTCTAAATCAGCTGAAAACATCTGAGATCAGATACTAACCCAGCTTTTGTCCCTTTTAGTCCAACTCTCTACGTTGGAAAATTAGACTCCCACCTCTACGCTTCCACTTCACTGGTGCACCGTGGGGTCTCATTAGTGGTGAGTGCCATAACTAATCAGATTTTATCATATGAACAAACATACTCTCTACTGATGACATAAAACAGCACACTGGCTCAGGTATCAGAGCTAGGGTGACCTATCTGTGCTGTTTGTTGCCATGGCAGCCTCGAGGACTGATGCTAGGTCGGATCGAGGGTCCGGTGACGGCTGGAGTGACGGTCAGTCATAGAGGGGAGTGTGAGATCACACCATCCACTGATGTGCAGTATCCACCGGGGAGCACACACAGCCAGAAGAACCACTGGCTGCTAATCGGTAACGCCGTAGAAACACGGCCCACAGAGGGAACAGCATTACCGTCGTAGTGGTGATGTGTGGGTTTTATCTTTGTGCTAAAGGTCACCACGAGCTTCCTCCAGTGGCCCACACCACCATGCTGAGGGATTTCCCAGCAAACCTGCAGAGTTCTGGAGAAGTGGTCATCCCCCCTCAATCTCCCGCCTCTCCAGTCTCCCCTGCATCCTCCTACTATCAGCGCTATGTGAGTCATAAACACTACATCCACAGCTTGTTAAAATCAAAGAACACGAACTCCTGATCATGTATCCTCTCTTTCTTCTCACGTCTTTCAGTTCCAGACGGGTTCTGGAAGCCACAACAAACCATCTGATGAAAAAACAATGAGACGTGCTGATAACCCGTCCTCCATGCTGCCTGTATATGTGACTCAGGACCGTCTGACACTGACGGTCATCACAGTCCTGCTGGGAGGATGGCTCATCCTGATGCTCACAATTCCGTTTGTGAGTTTATGTGTGCTTCTTTCTGATGTATTTGAAACGTGCGTCTGCTTTTTAAAGTAACACTGAGCAGTTTCCTGCTCCCCCGCCCTACTGGTTGAAAGTGGAATTACAACAGTTGTAAACAACACTGCTGCAGCCTGTTGTAGCTAGCGCTAACAGCTAACTAACACTAACGAGAGCCAACTAATGCTAAAATTTACCACGATGTAAAAAGATTCACCGTTGAACAAAAAAAACATTATTACTTACAAGTCCAGCAGCAACAAAACCAGGTCACCATCAGCTCATGATTTTGTAGCCTCGTTTAGCTCCCTCAAACTAGCGTAGGTCACGCTAATGTTCACGCTTTGCCTTGCCTCAAAAGACATTACTGTCTTACTTTTACGTCCAGGCTCCGCCATCATGCCAACAGAAAAGTAAACTTCTTTTTTGTCTTCTTGTGCTTTTGATTGACGATCGGCGACCAGGGGCGGATTTAGGACTGAAGAAGATCCGGGGCTTAACACACGCACGCACGCACGCACGCACGCACGCACGCACGCACGCACGCACGCACACACACACACACACACACACACACACACACACACACACGTAACACGCACTAGTCTTTTCATAAAACATTCGGGGCTTGAGCCCAAGTAGCCGGGTCTAACGCCACCCCTGTCGGCAACTAAAAAATTCTAACTCTTAGCACAACAGCTAACAGCCGTAAAGCATGTAAAGAGCGCCCCCTATAGAGCACCTACCCACTCCACAAAACTGTTAAGTATGGTTCCATTTTTAGTTATTTTTTATAACACAGAAAAGGTTTTTTATTACCTTGCTGACAGTTTTGTTTGCCGACTGCTAAACTTCCTCAGAACTAAAAATGGAATTAGAAACCAGGCACAGCAAGAACGTACCAAAGATGTTAAGTACAGTATCTGGCCAGTAGAGGGCTGCAGAGTGGTGTCACATATGAAACTGGTCAAGTTTCTAACTCAACAATCATTGAGATCAATGTTAAAGCTCTATCTTAAAGTAAATAAAACTATTTAGTGTTAATTTAATATCTATAACTCCAGCTGAGAATAAAAATAAGTCATGAGCAGAAGTGGTTTGATTCTGTCCAAATGAGACTTCACAATATCTATATGTACTGTGTCATTAAGAGTTAAGGTAAGTTACCTTTATGCACTAAAGATAAGCAAGATGATTAAAAAAACACACAAACAGATGCTGAAAGTCAAAAATCTCATGTCATTCAGATGTCATTTTTCTCTTGACTCATATGTTCCATTTGGTATAAATTTAGTTAAATATAGCTTATAATTATTGAGAAGAACCTGCAAGTTTTAATCATCAAATGTTTCCATCTTATCTTCACTGTTTGTTTAACTTCAGCTCTAAATGGCCGTATGTGTCTGCAGCGTAAAGCCCAACAGCTGAGAGCTCAGAGGCAGCTGGAGGAGGAGTTGGAGACCCACCTGCAGCGGATGCAGACGAACAGTCAGACTATGGTTTCTGCAGACAGCAGCCAGGTCACGGATGCCAGCGTCACAAGCAGTATGTTACTTTTAAAAGGCTTTTTTGTCTAATTATCTGTTAGGCTTCTTCTAAAGCTGTGACATTTATTTCTACCTTTCTGTAATTAGGCTCTCCGTCAGCATCAAACCATGTTACACCAAATGGCCACAGTCACATCAGAAACCAGCCAGATGCAGATAAAAACAGATCAGCTGATCACAAACCCACAGAGGGTAGGACATACGCTTTCAGTTTTCAGAAATGAGGAAAAAAGACCATTTTAATGCATTTATAACTTCCAGCAGAAGGAAACAATGAAGTACTGGTGGGTAAAATCTCCTTCGCTCCCTCTGAAGTACTGGGACACGGCACAGCTGGGACATTTGTCTTCAGGTACGGTACAATTACATCATTGTGATACATGTTTAGCTACTGTTTCACCCAGGAAATGCTCGCACATGACACACAGTGAGATAGGAATCCACAAATCAGAGCAGTCCTTACAGAACTTTATATAAATCTGCTCATTACAGATGACATGTCCTAATGTAATGGCAATTCCAGTGTAAGTTGCAAACTAGTAAAAAAAAAAAAAAATATATATATATGTTTATTTGTTTTTAAAGGGGCAAGTTTGATGGGCGCCACATTGCTGTGAAGCGAATCCTGCCGGAGTGTTTTGAGGTGGCCGAGCGGGAGGTGCAGCTTCTCCGGGAGTCCGACACGCATCCAAATGTGATCCGATACTTCTGCACAGAGAGAGACCGCCTCTTCACTTACATCGCCATCGAGCTGGGTGCTGCAACGCTGCAACAGGTCTGGCTGCACCGCAGCTTAGTTAATGAACTGAATGTCCTTTAATGAGGGGCTAATTCGTCTGCCTTTATTTGATCGTTTTCTCGGCAGTACGTGGAGGATCCATCTTGTTTTTCTGAGCTGAGTCCTATAACTCTTCTGGAACAGACCATGTGTGGCCTCTCTCACCTCCACTCACTCAATATAGGTCAGAAGTACTCATGTTTGTTTTATTAAGAAGTCGGTAAACATAATAAAACTGTAAGAACTCTTTAAATGAACACATTTTCTCTGTGCTCTTCTCCTTTAGTCCATCGAGATCTGAAGCCAAGGAACATTCTGCTCTCCGGGCCGAACTCTCTGGGTCAAGTCCGAGCTCTCATCTCAGACTTTGGACTCTGTAAGAAGATCCCGGATGGTCAGAAGAGCTTCTCTTTGAGGTCTGGAATCCCGGGAACCGAAGGATGGATTGCTCCAGAAGTGCTGCGAAACACACCTGGAAGTAAACCAGTAAGATCTGCACGTGCACACACACACACACACACACACACACACACACACACACACACACACACACACACACACACACACACACACACACACACACACACACACACACACACACACACACACACACACACACACACACACACACACACACACATCGCATAGGGTGGGTTTTCTTTGACTTCATGACTGAATGAAGATAAAACTGGAATGTGTTTGTTTTGTGTGTGTGTCTCTGGTTTGCAGATGTAAATATATGTTTTTATATTTACGTGATCCTGTTTTAACTCCAGACATCAGCGGTGGACGTGTTCTCAGCGGGCTGTGTGTTTTATTACGTGGTCAGCAGGGGGCAGCACCCCTTTGGTGATGCATTGAGACGGCAGATCAACATCCTGGCAGGAGAGTATTCCCTCTCCGACTTTATGGAGGATATTCACGGTGAGTCTAGTTCTGCACACGGTTTTTCAGCTGTGAATAAAAAAAAATCATGTTAACAAGAAACAGTGTTTTCTTGTCTTGCAACTTTATTGTGCATCGTCCTCAACAGATCGATTATTTGAGATAACGGTCCTGTTGCCCAACCCAGCTTTCACCTATTTGGACCACCATTTTTAGAATCAAGACGCAAAAACAATTTATCCAGTTACTTCCTTCAACATCAGCGGGAACAAAATGAACAAATCTGATCTTTTTCCTGCTCCAGTGAAAGAGGCATACATTGATCCGTGACTGACCAGAACCCCATCTGTGTATCTGTGCTCTGTTAGATGATGTCATAGCAAAAGATCTGATTGAACAAATGATCGATGCTGATGCAGAGTCACGCCCCTCCACCGCCTGTGTGCTCAAACATCCGTTCTTCTGGAGCCCGGAGAAGCAGCTGCTCTTTTTCCAGGTGTGGTAAATCACTTCTTTGTGGTCATTTCAATAATCCAAGTTTGGCTTTTGGCTGTAATTTTGTAAATATTTTTAAGGACATTTGATTTTGTTTAGGCATAAATACCTAGAGGTATTTCTACGGAAATAAAACCATCTTCAGTCTCTGTGCCATTTAATTACATTTGCTTGCTGCCATATTACCTAGAGATGGATAAGTGGGGAAAAGCGTTTTGTAACCAGCCCATTCATTCTCCTGATGCGGCAGTATTCTGTTAGCGTTAGCTTAGCATAAACAACGTTAGTGAATGGTAACAGCTAGCAATTTGTGTGGAAAAGTTGTGAAAATGATTCAATAATGATCCTAATTTTTCATGGCAACCTCAATAATCATATTATTAACATAACATCAAATTCAAATTGCTAACACTAGCATACAAAGTCAGAGATGGTACGGCTCCCATCTACCTGAATCCTCTTGAAAAGGCTTACGTCTCGGCCCGGCCGCTCCGGTCATCACAGGATCGTCGGCTAGCAGTGCCTACACCACGCTCAGGACAATCCAGACTCTTGTCATGCACCGTTCCACTAATGTGGAATGACCTACCAAGCACTACAACAGTGGTCCGCAAATGGTGGCCCGCGGGCCGGATGAGCCCTCTCTTTGTGGCCCCCAAACCCCGCGCCCACCCCTCACCCTCGACGGCCGACCGGGAGGTGTAGGATAGATAGAGCTGAGGAAAATAATCAAATAATCAATGCATGAGATGCGGGCATAAACGATTCTGCATCATAGAAGAGAACCATAATTTTAGTGGAATGTGGGTTTGTTATTTTAACGGCGGCGCCAGCGCAGCATCCACATCTGTCAGAGCGGTGTTCTCCACATTTACCGGGTAGGAAACTTTGATCTGCCTTTATGTGGTACTGCAGGGCTGAGCGCTGGAGTTATAACCTGAGACCGAACAGAATCAGCCCGATCGGTTCTGCTGGATTTGGGCTGTGAATTATGTTAATTGAGCGAGTTTATGTGTGGCGTGCTCCGCTCACTCGATCAGCGACTGAGAGAGAGAGAGAAGGTCAGAGGACGCTCTCCAAACATGCATTATTATTTTCATAAGTTCATTATTGTTTCTCCTGGAAGTGCACAGTCAGACCAAGTGATGTGATGTTGGGAGATCAATTCACTTCAATTCAATTCAAAAATACTTTATTAATCCCAGAGGGAAATTGATTAAATTGATCCGGTCTTGGGGAGGGGGCGGGGTCAGTGACCGCGGCTGCAGCGTAATCATCTTATTTAGGGACACAGAGAAGTTAAAAGGAGAGAGAAATAGAAGATAGAAGTTCTGGTTCCACTTTATTCTTTTGTTTCATGATGATAAACTGATGTTAAATTCAGCTTAAAGAGAAACTGGGAGGAAGCTTTGGTTCATTTGAAGTTACAGGAGGTCTGTCTTCTGTCTGCTCCTCCAGAGACAGCATGGACATGAGGGTCACACGGTGAGGGTCCCACAGGACAGGTTAGTGCAGTCACAAAGCCAAGCTGGAGGGGGACAGGTGCTGTTCTTCATATTGCAAGCTTGTGCGTTTTGTGCGTCACAGCCAGCGATCCAAACAGCCCCCCCCCCCCCCCCCAACACCCACACACACACAACCACCCCGCCCCCCACCCCGCCCGGCCCTCTTGCTTCTGGGTCTTTTTTGTGAGTGGCCCTCGGACCATTATAATTGAGAACCCTGCACTACAAGAACAGGGGCTTCCTTTTCGACTTTCAAGAAACTCCTGAAGACCCTGCTCTTCAGAGAGCATCTTCTAAACTAGCACCCTCCCTGCACCCGTCCCCCCCCTCTACCATCCACTCCTTGTTCCCTCCTCTCCATGATTCATCATGCTGCCTCACTGCCACCTACGACTGACTGGAAATTGCTTGTTGTTGTTGTTAGCCTCGAGGGCAACATGCCGATTTAACTTGTAAGTCGCTTTGGACAAAAGCGTCTGCTAAATACATAAACATAAACATAGCATAACATAGCATAACACAACATAACACAACACAACATAACACAACATAACATAACACAACACAACACAACATAACATAACACAACATAACATAACACAGCATAACACAACACAACATAACACAACATAACACAACACAACTTAACACAACACAACATAACATAACATAACACAACATAACACAACACAACTTAACACAACACAACATAACAACACAACATAACGTAACATAACACAACATAACACAACACAACACAGCATAACATAACACAACATAACACAACTTAACACAACACAACATAACATAACATAACACAACATAACACAACACAACATAACACAACATAACACAACACAACACAACATAACACAACATAACACAACATAACACAACATAACATAACACAACACAACACAACACAACATAACATAACATAACATAATATAACATAACATAACACAACATAACACAACATAACATACAACACAACACAACATAACATAACACAACATAACACAATACAACACAACATAACATAACATAACACAACACAACATAACACAACACAACATAACATAGCACAACACAACATAACACCACATAACATAACACCACATAACATCAATCAATCAATCAATCAAATTTTATTTCTAAAGCGCTTTTCAAACAAAGTGTTATTCAAAGTGCTTTACAAAATGACCCCAGATTCCCATAACAGGTTAAAAACATTAACAAACATATGCAATCACACGCACACATACACAGACTCACACACACACACGAGTAAAAATTATATTAGGCTGAGTCCAGATGAGCCAAGTATGGTAACGCAAGGAAACGCCATCAGAGGAGCCGTCTGTCCCGGCAGCATCAGGTCTTCCACACTAAGTCAGGGCGCTCAGTGGAGGGGGAGCATAGACCCCCACCTATAGAGCGCCCAGGAAGCTACAGTCGACCACCGCTCCCGGGGCAGAGGGCCCCCACAGAGGAAACACTGGATTAAAATGAGTAAAAATGTAATAAAAGAGCTAATATAAATGACAACAATTAGAAAATAAGTAATAAATAAAATCATAGACAGTAAAATAATAATTTAAATAATAAAACTGTGCTAAAATATAATCATATAGAACATGCAAAGCAAGTAATAAAATATAATCATGTAAAACGAGAAATAAAACTGTAGTAAATATTTAGATAAAAGCTAACCTAAAAAGATGGGTCTTGAGTTTTGACTTAAAAACATGAACGTTCTCTGCGGCCCTGAGGTCCTCTGGCAGCTCGTTCCAGAGGCGAGGGCCATAACACTGGAAGGACACCTCGCCGTGAGTTTGTGTCTTGACTTTAGGGATGACCAGGAGACGCCTGCCAGAGGAGCGCAGAGGCCGCGAGGGTTCATATTGTAAAAGCAGTTCTGATAGATAAGAAGGCCCAAGACCATTAAGACACATAACACAACATAACATAACACAACACAACATAACATAACACAACATAACACAATACAACACAACATAACATAACACAACATAACACAACATAACACAACATAACATAACATAGCATAACACAACATAACACAACACAACATAACACAACACAACATAGCACAACACAACATAACACAACACAACATAACACAACACAACATAACACAACACAGCATAACATAACACAACATAACACAATACAACACAACATAACATAACACAACATAACACAACACAACACAACATAGCATAACACAACATAACACAACACAACATAACACAACACAACATAGCACAACACAACATAACACAACACAACATAACACAACATAACACAACACAGCATAACATAACACAATACAACACAACATAACATAACATAACACAACATAACACAACACAACACAACATAGCATAACACAACATAACACAACATAACATAACACAACATAACATAGCATAACACAACATAACATAACACGACATAACACAACACAACATAACATAGCATAACACAACATAACATAACACAACATAACATAACACAACACAGCATAACACAACATAACACAACACAACACAGCATAACACAACATAACACAGCATAACACAGCATAACACAACACAGCATAGCATAGCATAACATAACATAACATAAAGGAATTACATTAGCAGATGTAGACTTGGGACTACATCACGACAAAGCACCGCTGTAAGCTGCAACTGCAAGGTGCAAGAACATCATACAACGGCCCAAAAGTCATGTACTCTGCCATTTTTAGTGCTGCTTACTTTGCTGTTCCTTCAAACAACCACGCCGAGTGCAGGCCTTGTAGACACGCATTTGCGTTTTTGGAAATAGGTGTCTTTTTGAACTTTAATGATTGAAATGCAAGCTGTTACCATTCACTTACATTGTTTATGCTAGGCTAAAGCTAACAGAATAGTGCCAGATTAGGAGAATGACTGGGCTCTCTTGGTAATCGGGCAAAAGACTAAATTTCACGTATTGCTGGAATATCTCCTTCACTAAAGCTCCATAAGGATTTAGCAGTTTTATTATTATGTTTCTGATTTTTTACTATGATAAAGATGTTGGTGGGTATGTCTCCTGCCTGTTTCCTGTCTGATCAGCCTTTGCTCTTCTCTGTTTTTAAAGGATGTGAGTGACCGAATAGAGAAGGAGCCAGCTGACAGTCCTGTAGTGGTCAGACTGGAGACGGCAGGAAGGACGGTGGTCCGAACCAACTGGAGGATGCACATCTCTGGGCCTCTACAGACAGGTACACACAACAACACTCCAGTGCAGGAAAACGGATCCACAAACAGTTTGTCTGAAGGAATTTTTCTCATGTGAAATTCAGACTTGAGGCGTTTCAGGACGTATAAAGGAAACTCTGTGAGAGATCTGCTACGAGCCATGAGAAATAAGGTCAGAGAGCATGATGTCTTTGTTGTTTTTCTTTTCTTTAAATCCACATTTGAAAACTTTCACTCAATATTTCAACCCTAACAGAAGCATCACTACCACGAGCTGCCGCTGGACGTGCGGGAGACTCTGGGTGAGCTGCCAGAAGGATTTGTCATCTACTTCACCTCTCGGTTTCCACGGTTACTGATGCACACACACACTGCTTTACATATCTGCGCTCATGAGAGGCTGTTTCTCCCCTACTATCTGCCACCCAAAGCCAATTAGCTTTCACATGACAGCACCCCGTTATTGCTTTTGTAAAGCCTGTGCTGCTGTTTAAGGGGATTACAGCGCTGTGAAAATGTTGTTTATATCTTAGGTTGTTTTTATAGATTCATTATATTGTATTTTATTTGACCCTTTTTATTATTTATTATAAAGACAGTTTTAACTATTGGCTTCTGGGAAATTTTGTTTCTGGGAAACAACACTGAAGACGTAAATGTATTAGCAATAGAGCTAAATCCAGACTGAAAATGTTGCAGTGACAGTGGAGTGATTTTAAAACCTATTTAAAAAAATAAAAATAATAAACATAAAATGACGTGCTCCAGACAGACAAATGATCGGTTTTTACTAACAATAACAATTAGAAGATGCTAACTAAGCTGAGCTTCAGCTTGCTTTTAATTACCATAATACTCGGTTGTCAGGATTGGGTCATAAAATTAAGACCAAATTCAAAACAACAAATGTTGTAATTCAGCTTAACAAACTTGGCTGAAAGAGAGAGATGTGATCTACTTTTGAGATCTCTAGTGTGGATTTAAACATGCAAACTTTGTTGCAGGCCTGTGGGAAGTTCAGTCACTGAACTTTAAAGAAAAAAGAGAAAACAGCTGTTATTTAATAAGTGTTGGATGATTGCATGTCAGAAAACATAAAGTATTGTCTGGTTACTCCATTAAACATCTCTGGCTTCTGTTGCTGCTTTTCCCATCTGTACCAGAGACGTCACAATATTTATCAGTCGTGTGTGTGTGTGTGTGTGTGTGTGTGTGTGTGTGTGTGTGTGTGTGTTGGGATGGTAGCTACACCTTTGCTCTGATGAAACAGAACATCCCGGTATCAGATCACAGATGTAACAATTTGCTGCTGAACATCTGATTTTTGATCCTGTCTGCAGCAGATGGATGTGAACCTGACCCACTGGGTCACTATTCTGCTGCACTTTTATGTCCTGTTACTGTTTAATGCTATTTGTCTTTATATAGAGTGAATGATAAAAGTTGTACTTTTGTACTCAAATTTTTTTGAAGGGTTGAATAAAACCAATGCTCTGGGTGTGCCATAGAATAAATGAGTTTCTTTCACTTGTTAATTTTCACCTGTTTTGTGTTTCTCCCTTACGTTATTTTTGATTGTTCATAATCAGTGTGTAATGAGAAAGTTCATATATTTTACCTATAGTGTGTTCTAAGTAGTGTGTACAAAAGTCACCTCAGGACGTTCTACAGTAAAAGCAAAGCAGTTTAATTCAAACCCACTTGCTATCAAATTTTCTGTCATTCACAATTCCTTCAAATCAATAAACACCAGAATCCAGCTCCACTGGTTGCCACGTTACAGTTTACAGTTGCTGTTTTTTCTCACAAATCTTGAGCATAATCTGTCGGCATGAAAAACTTTTGCACCCGGTTTTTGTTCTTGCAAAATACTGCCGTACGTCTCTGTTCCTACCAGCAGAGGGAGACATCCACCCATCCCAAAACTGCTCCTCCAAACTGGTCGAAACGAGTTTTAGTTACAATTTAAATGTCTGATCATGTAATAACATTAAAAATGTTTGTTTTCTTGCGCTAACAGACAAAACACTGCTGAGAGCATGCTGTAAAGCAGCTTAAATGTCAGGCACGAGTTTATTTCTCTGTCATTGGGAGTCTAAACAGAAGAGGTTTAATGATACTGCGGGCCAGGGCAGCAATGTGTCACGGTCAAATCACCGTCTAATGAGCCACTAGCTGTTTATAGTTCACTGTATGTTTCCGTCGCTTGGCCAGGGCTTCGGTATGTGTGTGTGTGTGTGTGGGGTGTACTCTGCTCATTACTAAATATCAGAGTTCAGCGGTAAGTCCAATCAGTACAGTCTCAGGGTAACATCAGCTTAACCAAAGTCATGAGACTAAACTTACACACTTCAGTGAACACACACAGATACACACTTTAGATTATTAAGCATGAAAACCCTGGGGTGTGTGCATGTCCAACCTATCAAAAGATCTTTTTGAGACGTTGACACCTGAAGGAACATCTGTAAAAAGTGACTTGGTCTGTTTGCTTCTGCTGACTAAGCTGGTTGATGTTGGTAGAACATTAAAGTTGTTCCTGTCTCTGTAAGCCCGCAAACATTTTGAATAAAACATTCAAATATCTCCTTCTTCTTCTACAGCAAAAAGCATGTAAAATGATGTGATCTTGGTTGCTAGGACGTTTAGGGTGGTTGCGCTGATGATTTATGGTTGCTAACACACCAGTTTTCCTCGGTTGCCTTGGTGTTCAAGCACAACAGATTTGATCTTGTCATCAGTGCAATTAAGCATACTTGTTATTGGATTCCTGCAGAGCTGCAAAAGGGTTTTATCATCAACGTTAAAAAGAAACAGCCCCCTAGTGGCTGGGTGCAGCGTAGGTTGTAAGTGTCGCCGCCTCTGTGACATATTTTCCTTTAATAACAAAACAAAATCGACCTCAGATAACTTTTCCAGTTTTTATTTTTGCAAAAGTGAACAGATAAGCACCTATAGAGTCTTTAAAAACACAAGGCCAAGACATCGAGACACTTGTAGTTATTAAACTATTGGGTCTGTTACTCCCTAAAAAGTGACAGATCCAATAGTTTGACCCACATTATCTCAGCGGCTCTACCTATTAAGAATGTGTTTTTTGCTTAGGTCTTTGAGCACAAAAAATTCTACCCTGGCTCCAAAAAAATGTAGATTTTATTTGGATGCCACTGCTGGTCCTCAAATTGACACTTTGCTTAGTTTTCTTAGAGGCTAGACTCCGACTGGCAATTTTAGGGTTGAAAAGATAAATAAATGATATTTAAAGGTGCAATATGTGATAATGACATTTGGTGGTCAACTGTGGTTACTGCAATCACTTTTTCACTCCCAGTCAGTGAGTTTCATGTTGCCAGTTTTGGACCAGCACCAGAAGATTCTAGATGACAAACAAAGACGAGTCAAACAGTATGATGATAAGTAGATAATTACGTTGTTGTAACTGGTGTTTTTTTACTGTAGGGAACACTTACTACAACTATTACGGTATTTTGTCTCCGGTATTGGAGGGAGTGTGGTTGTTTAATGTCTTGCTGTTATAGTTCTGAACGACTCATTAAAGGTAGTAAAACAAACATTTGTTCTGTAAATAGTTTTAGCAGATTTGGGTGAAGCAAAGGAAAAAATGACATGGTATTATTATTTGTAAATGTACATGTAGAAACCACGGGGGTCTAATTATCATCTCCTTATAGGTGTAAAGCAACAAAAAAAAAAAAAAAAAAAAAAATAGAGATTTGTGACCACATCCTGCATATGTGTGCAGGAGGAGGAAATCAGGTTTGATGTTAGTGACCCACCAACGTTCCAGGCAACAAAACCATGTTCCTGGGAAGGAGAGAATTGTCTTCTAGCTTGTTCAGCGTGGTTGTCCTGATGGATTTACTTGAAATAAAGTACTGTGCATGATCCCCCCCCCATATGACTGATTAGTTAGTCCAAGATATCCAACAAAAATCTGAGAAGACATTTGAAAACAACCCAACATTTCACACACAACAAACCCCTCATGGATGTTTATAACACACACACACACACACACACACACACACACACACACACACACACACACACACACACACACACACACACACACACACACACACGTGTTTATGCTGCAGATAAAAACAGACACAATGAATGAGGACAGAATGTCCCGTGCTCCTCTGCCTTCCTTCTGTTTCAGATCCCACCGTGGAGACATTTTTCTGCCTTTTCCTCTTACCGGAGGAGGCTAGTTTGGTTTTCTCTGATGTGTGTGTGTGTGTGAGTAGGTGGTGGTGTTACAGAAACAGAGGGATGTCGTTCTTACAGTTGCTCCATTTTGGGATCGGGACAGGAAGTGGGGCTCAGAGGAAACATAACCTCCTCCCTCCCTTTATCCTCTTACTTTTTCTTGTATTCCCTTTTCCTCTCTTTGTCCCCCCCCAGCCAGTGCTCACCCATTCACAAGGTCATGTTGTATTTTCTCCTTTGGGGTGCCAGAGACCTTGCAGTCGGTCACGAGTTCCTACGGGCTGCATGTATGGATCTTACATTACATTCTGCTCACTTCCTGTGTAAATAAATCTGCGTTGACCAGCGATTTCTAAAACAACACAAAAACCTCGTGGTTCTGGCGGATTCTGGACCCCCTCCCTGTCTCCCGAGACTCTGGAGCTGTAATGTAGCAGAGCCGGTCTGATTAAAAGCCAAAGCAAAGGTCAGACTCTGCTGAGTAACAGAGATATCGCCTGACTCCAGCATTTGCTCTCATGCCCAGCAGTCTGATAGCTCTCGCTGATGAGCTTCATATTACATTATGTGGAATAAGAGCCCACATTTTGCCTTGAATGTACATCAGGATGACATTACTTATCAGGGGCTTCAACTCGCCCCTTTCTTTGCTTTGCATGAGAGCTTTTCGTGCTCATAAATACTGATGAAACTACCCTGGGAAATGAGAAAAACATATTTTTATGTTTTGTTTTTCAGCACGAGCTTAAAACTTTTAGGCACTCCTCCCTCTCTGCTAATCTTTCTACCACTCCTCACTTTTCCCAACTGTAATGCTTTCGCCACACACACACACACACACACACTGAGAAAAAAAAGAAACAAGATGTCAGCAAATGGTCGTGTATTTCACCACAGGGCGCAGAAGGCAAGGCTCTGGGAAACAAACACAAACAAAGTCTTTGCTTCCTGCTCCTCTTTAAAAGTCCGAGCCTGTTTATTTACTAACAAATACATCCAGTGCAATGACACACAAAATTACAGCTACAAAATAAGCGTGACTAGAAAAGGCTGGTTTACAAACAAACCAGTTACAGCTGTTAGTGGTGTTTGTACACAGTGCCAGTCAGAAATCTACAGTATTCATCAATGTACAGGAAGCTGGAACACAGGCACGCAAACACAGTTTTATAATGACATGAGTGGCCGTGCTTGTGTTTTTTATCTTATTCTCCTCGAGGCCGAGCAGATGGAAGTTGTGTCTGATCAGCATCTTCTTATCAAACCATTTCATTTGTGGCTCTGCTGGAAAGAGCAGGGCCTGGACTCAAATCAGGTGACCTAGCTCCTATTTCAGCGGCCTGCTAATTTCTTGCTACAGAGTTGGTAAACTCTACTCGGTGTTGAACATGTTGAAGATTTTGTTCACACAAGTGCATCGCAAAAACCTGAAAAGCGTCTTTAATGTGACATGACGGGTCTGAGAAGGTTGAACTAGGGTGGAGGGGATTAAAGCAACACTAAACTGGTTTCAGTGGTTCTTTAGCCATAAACTTGACCAACCTCACATGGGATGGCAACATTCAGCCCTCTGCTGACTAGAAACCACACTTAGCAGTTTTGTGGGGCAGGTAGGTAAGTGGAGCTCTCTACCTGCATAACAGCAGTAGCTGCTTATTCTACTGATAGCTAATATAAAGGCTAGCAGTTAGTTTTTTCAGTTCAATGACGGTCTGCTTTTTTGCTTTGCATCATGGTGGAGCCTGGAGGTAAAAGTAAGCAACTAATGTTTTGAAGGAGAAGCAAAGAGCTAAAACCATAGTGAACATCAACGTGGCCAACGCTAGTTTCAGGGAGCTGAAGGAGACTATGAAACCACACACTGATGGTGACCTGGCTTTGTTGCTACTGAACTTGTAAGTAATCATATTTTTTGTCCAACTGTGTGGATCTTTTTATTTTGTAAAGTCTTTAGTATCAGTTGGCTTGTGTTAGCGTTAGCTCAATGTTAGCACTAGCTTACAGAAGCCCACAGCAGGGATGAAACTCCCTTTTCAACCAGGAGAGAGAAGCAGAAAATGTATTTAGTGTTGCTTTAAATGTTCTGATTAGGGCAATGCATTAGGGTGGTGTATAATTAAAGGGACAATATGTAGTTTTTAACAGTTATTCCCTGGAAATATCCATCAAAACTTTGTTGAAAATGAATAAAATTATGTCCAGTTGTTAAAAAATATTAGTGGCTTCGTACCATATTTCCATTAGAATCAGGTCTAAAGTACATAGGGCATGAGTCTAGCGTCTTTGGGGGACGCCATATTAGACGCCATGTTTCCTTCTGGCCAGCTCAGGGTCCTGTGCCTGTTGATGATGCCACTCTAGATGATTGGCTGGATGTACAACTTACGGGAGTTGTGTTACCACGTTCAAAACCATTTAGACAATAGAAACACGAATTCAATTACAAAACTGCTAAACTCTTTACAAAACATGTGAAAGAACAGAATCAAAAAGGAGAAGCAATATATTTTAGCCGAGTGCTATTGCCATATGATGATGACATCAATGGCAGGTGCAGGACCCTGCACCTAATTCATGCTAGTAACAACAGATCTCCCATGTTCTATGTCTGGGGTCATAACCTGTAAAAATAGGAAATCGGTATCGGCCTTTAAACCAGAATCGGTGCATCTTAAACATTAAAGCTTGATTTTACTGTATTTTTTTAAAATTCTCCAGCAGTTTGTATGAAATGATCAACCTCTTTAGCTGCTAGATCCTTCTCTACTTAGTCTAATATGAGAAGTGTGAATATAAAACACACACCCTGCAGACACTGAAATCTTCAGGTCGCGGTAATCTGGCTTCATCACGTCACAACCTTCCTCTGTTTTAGTAACTCATGCAAAAATACTCATCAGTGCTGATAATCTGCTGCTCCAAAACGTTGCAAAATTTTTTAAATAAATAAAATTAATTTCACAGGGAACTTCGAAAGTGATCTTTTCTGAGAAAAGCAGATGACTCCAGTAATTCCCTAAGAAAGGATCTCTGTGTGTGTGGCCGGGTTTTTGTTTTGGGACTCAGCAGCATTACAGGTTACCGTCCGACAGACGGTCGAGTCGAATCTGAAACGTGTTATAGCAACTGGCCTTTTCATTTTCTGTGGCTCTTATTAGCATAATAAAAGTAAAATTAAAAATCTCACTAGAAACTCCTCTGTGATTTCGTTCAGCTCGGCTCGTTCAGGTTGTCTAATATTATCTTATTTTTTTTTATAAGAAGTGCTTCTCAGAAGTCTAAATCAGCCACCAGGAACACGAGAAAGAGGTTATTTACAGTTCAGCTGCGTCATTTTTCTTGTGTTCCCGTCATGTTTCACAAACAGAACAGGAACACTCGCAACCGTACGGCAAAAAAAAAATAATCTCGTAAATACTTCAAAACTGCCTGGAGTGAAGTCTGTGGTGTAGTAGAAGGTTGGTATTCAACAGGAAACTGGTGGGAAAAGGGGCAACAGGGATACAGCCGAACCCTAAGTAACCCAGATGTGTGTGTGTGTGTGTGTGTGTTTAAACAAAGATGAGCCTTTAACTTGTACGTCTGCCGTTTGTGCTGCAGAGGGAGGAGATGAACAGGCCATCTATTGTGAGGATTAGAAGAAGACGGCTTCGTCTCTGCAGCTGGTTATCTCGTGTGGCGTGGGAGTGAGGGAGTACAACGCACGGAGATGTGAAGCCTCTCTTCCTTTTGTTGGAGTTCACCGACAGGAGGACAACCTTATCACACAATGCAGCATATGACCAGTTAGAGCCCCACCCCGCCCCGTCACGTGGACTTTCCCATCCGTCTTTATTCTGCCCGACACCTCGAGCCGCCTTTCGTCAGCCAGCGGTCTGACGGGATTTAGTGACAAGCCTGTCATTAGTCTTTTATGTACAGAAAAGGTGAAACACTTTCAGCGCTCCCGCCGCGCAGCTGTTGCTTCCCTCTACATTTTTTACTCTCTTTATGTCGTTAAATGCAGGTTCTCCACAGGGGCCGGCAGATCAACAAGTCTGCAGTCAGCTCACGGCTCCACAGGTTTTAAAGATCAGTTAAATCCACTCAGCAGAGGTCAACGAGTCAGTGGTAATATAGAAACTCTTAGGCTGGAGTGGGGGAGCCGTCCGAGTTTGGATTCACAGTTGCAGGCCGCAGGGGCGGTGCGTACATCATTGCAGCATGATGTCTTTCAGGTTTTCCTGCAGAATGGTGTCCTTGACGGCGTGAAAAACGAAGCGTATGTTTTCCGTATCTACAGCAGTGGTGAAGTGGTGAAAAAGAGGCTTCGCCCTGTTTCTCCTCTTCCGACTGAACGACTGGACCAGGAATGTCTGGAAGAGGCAGAGCAGGGATGGTTAGTCTCTAAACGGACGCTCACACAAACTGGCTCGCTGGTGATTTGGAACGATACCCTCGAGTACCTGCACGTCCTCCAGCCGGCGTGGGTCTCCTCTGAACTCGGGGAAGTTCTTGCGGATGTCCACCACGCGGATCTTCTCCACCAGCAGATCCGTTTTGTTGAGGAAGAGGATGATGGACACGTTCAGAAAGAGCTTGTTGTTGACGATGGTCTCGAAGATGTTCATGCTCTCCACCAGGCGGTTTGTCCGGCGGTCCTCCATCAGAACCTGCAGCAGCACACACTCAGCATTCTTATCAAGTCCTATCGGAGCAGCCATGACGGATTGCCCTCATATGACCCTTGACTAGAAATAAAGCCTGAACAGTAGCAACAACCATGTTTTCTCTGTCCACTACAAAGGCAGCTTTGTAGAGTCTGTTTCCTACTTGATCCAAAAAGTCAAGAGACCGACTGGAAAATATTTGCGTATCGTTGGCGTTTTAAAATAACCTGAGAAGCCCTCGTACTCACCACGCTCCTCATGAATTTGTATTTACTGGTTTGAAAGATTTGAACAAAATATTGTTACTGGATGATCGTCTGGCTTTTAGTATCACAACTAATCGTATCATCTTCCCTGGTGTGATATCATAACACCAGATTCTTGCCAATACACACCCCTAATTGCTATGGTTACCACAAGAACTCAAATACCTCTTATGCTTGTCGCTGTAATAAATATGTTTTAAAATCGCATTGCTCGCTGTTATATGACTCAAATATTTAGCTTCATATGACATCATCAATCGTTTATCTCAGCGGATGGTCTCAGTCTGAAGAACACGTCTCTACTCGCACACGCACCTGATCGTACTCTGACGAAGACACCATGAAGAGTATCGACGTGATCCCGTCGAAGCACTGAAACCACTTCTGCCTCTGCGACCTCTGACCGCCGACGTCCACCATCTTGAAAGGGATCTTTTTGATGATAAAGTCGTGCTCGACGATTCCTTTAGTGGCTTTCCGGGCAAACAAAATGTCCTGCCTGCTTGGAGTGTAATTCTGAAAAAGAACGCACTCGTTACATCGTGAGCTGAAAGAGAGGTGGAAGTAAACGGCGAGAGTCAGGAGCGAGACTCACCAGCTGCCCGATCCTATCCAAGTTGTCCAGGAAGTATTTGACTGACTCACTCTGGAAAAAGAAGAAAATCACCGACCCAATGAGTAACATCGTATTAAACATTATAGGAACGTAACTGGAATAATTAAATTAGAACCCTTAATCAGATTAGTGGAACAATCTGATTTCTTGTATTTCTTCCTGGGCTAATCCTGATTTAAGAGAAGAAGCAGTTTTTGTTTAAATAACACGTTCATCCCTGCATCAGTAATGACTACACGGCCAACCGTAATCACATAAGGTCAATTATATTTCTATAAAGAAATCTTCTGTCTAACAAACTGAAAGCAGGTCAGCGCTCTGAATCTCTGACGTGTTGTTCCACTCATCCAGGTCCTGATTCTAAAACAATCATTTCTAAATCTGGTGCTGTATACCTAATGGAGGATGTGCTCAGCTGTCCAGTTTGTGATTGGAGAATTCATTCGTTTGTGTGATTTGTGCCAACATAAATCAGAACCAGTGCTTTCTGCTGCCCGGTGAGGTAGAAAAGCCCAGAGAAATGCTCTCGTTTAACAGAAGGATGCTTAAAGTTGAAGGTCCTAGAAAAACAAGAGCCAAAAAGGACGAGCAGATTTCGCAATCAATACAAGTCCATGGGCGACAGGAGGAAACAGAAATATAATTAAACATTTTCAGTGAACAAGTTGTTATTCCTGGGGCAATCCTCACATGGAAATTGGACTTTTTTCTCTCTCTTACCTTAAAAGTTGAGGGGACAGCAGGTACTCTGTCTCTTTGAACATCTGATTAATTGTGGCACCAGAACATGGTTTGTAATTCTGGACCAGTTTATATTCCAGAAGCCATATTTTGCTTTGGCTTAGAAGAACAACTGATTTGTTCTGTTAGCTGGAGGTGATCTGATCCTCAAGGTCTGCTAGTGATCAGCCAATCATAAGCTGACCAAGAGGGTCATAGGGATCATCTTTACCAGCCACTAACTGGAATGTTGATAGGAGTTGGAACTGACAAAAATCAGGATGGAAATCCACAACGCCTTTGAAGCAAGGGTGTGTATTGGCCAGAATCTGGCGATACGATATTTATCACAATACTGGGGAGTAGGCTTGGGCGGTATTACGGTATTACCGTATACACGCGGTATTACAAAATAGCGACGGTGTCAGTTCCAATACCGTCGTGAAAAACAGCTGTGCGACTGACCAGTTGCTCTATCCTCCCCATACTCCAGCTCTGCAGGGAGAGCGTGTTGGCTGTGTCAGAAAACGACCTCCAGCTTACAAAGTCAATAAAAACCACAATTCTAAAAAAGCTGGAGGCCAAGTATGAATCTGATTCAGTGCGCAAATTAATGCGAAAATGCACTTTCCTCGATCCTCGTTACCGTGGCAGATATGAGCTTGATGACAACACACTGGCTGAAATCAAAGCTGAATTACAGGCTGAGATCGTGAGCTTAGAGGGGCAAACAGCACCAGAAGCAGTGGCCATCCGAACCATAGAGGAACGAGCACAACCTGAACCCCCACGCAAAAAGATGTCTCTGGGGGCTCTCCTGCAAAAACGAGCCGCTGACGCTGCGCCGGAGGGTCCCGTCAGCGCAGAGCAACGAGCTGGAGCTGAAATAACAGCGTACTGTTTGGAACCTGTTATTCAAGGGGATGAAGACCCTCTTCTCTGGTGGAAATATGCTGGCAGTCGTTTTCCCCAGAAGTCACGACTGGCCCGGAGGTATCTATGTATTTGTGCCACCAGCTCACCATCGGAGCGGGTTTTCAGCACCGCAGGTAAAGTTGTTGGTCCACAATTTGCAAACTTGAACCTAGAAAAAGTAAACATGCTGGTTTTTCTGGCGAGAAATCTTAACTAGATTTGCTGCAACATGCCGTAATGTTCACACTCCTGTGTGCGCGCGCACGCGTGTGGCCGTGTGACGGAGTTTTCTTGTTATAATTTTAATGCAGTTGTTTTGGTTGCAATAATTTTTATAATTTCAATGTTTATGGTTATTCAACTCTTGTTGACTGTTACAGCTTATTTGCACTGTTTCATGCTGCCCGTTGATAAGTTGTTCACTTGATTTGCGCACAACAGCGGTCCTGGGTTTTTATGTTGATTTATTGCTGTTGGACTGTTGACTCTTTGCACTTGTTTATAAGCTGCGTTTTTTGTGTTAATAAATGTTGTTAATAGTATGTGAGTTGCGTTGTTATTTTTTTAGTAATTGTTTGGTATTCGGATTCAGAAAGGTGAAGGTCCACTTGAGGCTTACGTCATACTTGTTAAGTATTCACAGTAATACCGTATACCGGGGTAAAATTAAGTGGAAGTTAGACGGTATTCAAATTTGGATACCGCCCAAGCCTACTGGGGAGACGATGATATGATATTTATTACAATACCCGGGAGACCAGTATCTACTAGTACCTGCAAACCAGACGATACTTTATAAACTGAGTTTAATTAGAAAACTCAGGTCAGCCAATTCCAAAACACATCCGGTGTTTTCACAAGATCTTGTTCCGTTGGAATAAAGGCCGTAAAAACTGCTGCCACCTAGCAGTTGGAAGCTGAATTGCATGACACAGAATCAATGCAGTGAACGTTTGCATGCAAAATTTTAATAAAAATTGATACACTGCTTTTAAATATCAGTTCATTAGCATAACATGAAATAACGCAATATTTCAGCGTATCAATACTTTTTTACATCCCTAATCTAAAGTTATTTTTATTTCTGAGATAGTCTCAAGTCCTCTCTTGGTGTTGTATGACCCACAGAGAAGTCCAGACCCCAGATCTGACAACCACAGATGACATCACTATGATTACAGGTTAGGACCATGTTCTTGACAGTAACTGTTGACTTAATGCTCTATCAAATCCTGTTCAAAGCAATGAGCTGCAAACCTTTACTTGAGTGTGAAGATGTCAGATTTTTTTCTGCAGCTTCTCATTTCTCGGCAATGTCAAACTTTTGTTTCATGTTCAAGCAGATTCTTGTTTAAAACTCTCTGGATGCCCAAATAAACTGATTTTCTGTCAGATGCAGATGACGGCTTGTGTTTTTAGCTTCAACACAGAATTTATGATTCTGAAATCTGCTTCTCTGCCTAAAATGCTTTTCCAACCAAGAAAAATGTTTGACTTTTTAAAGGTTCGTTGCTTCATTTAGCCGAGCCAAAGTGTCATCACGTTCTGTGGATCGATGAATGTGGATTGTGATGGGTAATGCTTAAAGTAATTGGGCTAAAAGTACTTGAGTAAATGTTAAAATTTACATATCCCCTCATCATTAGGACTGACCGCTGCCAAACTTCAACAATTTCCATGGTAACCAGCCCAGAATTAATAATTCAACGTTACTCACTATGCGCCAACATGAATCCTCAAATAAAGACATTTACCACCTGCATGCTAACAAAGACAGGTCACCAATATCAGCGAGTGGAGGTGCATCCATCACCACCGCGCTGAGCATCAGCTGTGTTTACATCTCCTCCTGCTGCTCCACAGTTTCCAAAAAACATTAATAAAACATGCCATCATCTGCAACAACTCCAGTACTGCTAAGGAAAGCACAACAGACCAAAAGAAGACGAATGGACAAGGCGTCTGCGGAAATCCTGTGAAATCATGGATTCTCACACATTCCTGAATGAAGAAGAAAAGAGGAGGAAACCAGAAGAAACACCCGAGTGCTGGTAAACGTCATCGCACGTCATGCAGAACTTTTTCTTTGTCTTTACCACTAGAATACTTTTTGAACTCTCCTGACTGAGTCTGACGGGAACATTAGAACTGGACATTAAAATTACGTAGACAAAAAGCTTTGGTGGAGCATGATTTTAGAGCTCTTTCTGGGTGTTCTGAATGTTTCATGAGCAGATTTCACTTTGGATTAAACAGTCACTGGTTTCACTTGTAGTTATAAACACAATTCTAGTGCGTTTGTAGGGAAAAGCAAGAGTTTTAAACATTGTTTTCAGTTGATGTGGGTTAAGGGCATGCTGGTCCTCACTCCTGTCAACTAAACAGTTTGAGCGAGTTTCAAAAAGCTGCTAATAGATTTTCAAACTGTTCTCAAATGAAAGTCGAGCAGCGGGGGCCTGGAACGATGACAATGGTTTGATCTGGTGACCACTGAATGATCTGTACTACAGAGTTCATGTCATTTTAAAAAAATAAAACCTGGTTTGAGGCTGAAACAGCAAACATACAAGAGACCAACTGTAATTAAACCAATTCTCAACAATACTTAATAGCTGATTTCCTTTTTCTTTTATATAGACCGACACGCAACAGGAAACAGCTGTGTGTGTGAAAACAGAACAGAGACATGGGGAGGAACCGACTAGCAAAATCAGACTGTTACAAAGTCATTTTAGAGCTTTCATCACACACAGACACACAATAGATGCATAAAAACTGGGCTGACAGAAACTTTTCCCAAGTTTGCAGAAGTCTGTGCTCCTTTGTAGCAGATCACAGAGCTCTGTTTGTGTGCGTACTGCATAACAACCAGGAAACGTGACGCTGGTGAGAGTGAGATGTGAGGCCGTGACCCTGCTGCTGACCTACAGTGTCGCTGAATTATGAAACATAAAGCCGGGGGCTCTGATCAGTTTGGCGGGACGTGGAGCAGCAGAGGGGGCTGTTGGAAGGGGAAACGCAGGGAGAGGGGAATTCCCAGGGATGAAGGGACAAGCTAATAGATACAGACACACATGGGAGCACATGCAATGGTCCTTTCCACGGAAACTCTAGATTCAATCTGCAGGAAGAGTCTGATCATTAATGCTGAGTAAGGATAGTCCAGAAATCCAGAAAGAAGGCCTAAAAAGGTCCTAACACCTTTGAACAATAAAATGTGTGTGTGTGTGTGTGCGTGTGTGCGTGTGTGTGTGTGTGTGTGTGTTAAGACAGCAGGAATGTCTCCATTCATGACATGTTTGGGGGGGGGGGGGGGATTAAGGGCTTTATCACAGCAAAGACCTGAATAGGCACACACTCTGGAGTGTATGTTCAGGTGTGTTTGTCACTAGAGT